GTTTAATAAACCGCACTATTCAGTAATAAACCAAGGGCAATGCACAATAACAGAGCACAGGTAACTTTCAGCACTTTAGAACAATAGCACAGACTGAATCCCATCCATTAATTAGGTATTAATCACAGGAAGTGCTGCAACTAAATATTACAACCCCAATGGATCTGTAAAAAGATACTTAGCATTTTCTCAGAGCTCTTTCAAACGACATTTTAAACATCTTCTATACATAATAACAAACAACTCTGAATGTATGAAACTGGATGTATCAAACACACTATTCAGTTTTTGAATTAGTAAAGCGCTTCGTTAGCATTAAAAACGTTGCAGGCCTCAGGCATTGGGTTAGCATCCTCCTCAGAATAACTGTTCCAAACATGACGGCTTCCAGAACCAGCAGGAAGAATAAATTACTCACCGCACCGCGAGTTACGACTGTTTAAACGAACAGCAATGGGCTCTTTGCACCTGCCGCGCTGACGTCACAACTGTATACCCGAATGCGGCTCTTTTTTCCACTTTCAGAAACTATGACTGCTATAAAAGACAAAGTCGTACTTAAGACACAAATAAAACAATACTATGTACTTTGTTTAAGTTTTCATGGATTTCCAAGCCATCCTCAATTAAGACAGCTTGTAAATATTCGTTGCTACAAGTTAAAGCTACCACTTGAAGCTAACGCCGTACACACCGCTCTAAACACCGTCTTAATGAGCCCTTCACAACAAGCATGCAAAAGTAATAAAATGAAATAACACAGAAATCTTAAGCAACACGGCCATATTTTTCTAAAAGTAACTCTGAATCTGAACAGTCAGCTGAACTAGAACTCCGATACCAGAGTAAGCTCTGTGCTCGTTTTTGTTCTTCATACTTCAAGCAAAAACTCTGAACTGTAATCTGCCCCCCCCCTGCCCGCTGCTTTATTGTAGTTAACAATAAACACACGTAATATGCTTGAAAATAAGGCACAAACAGTGTCCGTTAGAATGGCTGAGAAATCTTTAGATAATTAAATAGCAGATTTTTACTAGAAAGCTAGCAGGCTTGTGCTAGCAGTTTAAAGAAAATAAAACTCACCTTCATATCTGTGAATGTATAACGAGGCGAACATCTTAAAACCTTTCTTTGCCTTACTTGTTGGGGTTTCGGATCGATGTACATTATTAATTGTTACCTTGGAAAAACATTTCAGCAGTTTTTTCCGAACGTGTAAGCTGAGGTGCAAAGAGCCCATTAAACTTCTCCAACTCCGGTCCAACAGAGCCTTCTTGCTCCAAAGCGTGGTTCGTATTTGCAACTCCAAAATCCAAGCAAAATGTTGAGCGTAGTCCAGTTCTGTGGCTCCAAAAAGCAAGCAAAATGTTCAGGAAAACTTTGCAGCTCCAGCTGTCGCCAGCTGACTGTTATTACGTAGCGTTGATCTGTTTTCTCATTGATGGAGTACCACTGCCTCCTGCTGTCGCAATACTGGTATTGCACTAGCAGTACCAGTATTTCTCCACAAGGTGCCAGTAGTACTCCATCAACACTGACCCCAGTGTGTTCTTACTTCGCTGTGTCATAAGTTTTGCTGAATGACTTTGTTTGTATTATTTCTAGCAAAATGAATGAATGTTTGTACTTTAACCCACAAAATAAACTTATAAATATATATAAAGTTATAATAATGTATATTTAAATAATTAATAACAACATAACCTATGGGCTGCTGTTTTCTAGGGGGCGCTATAGAGAAATTAGGCCACGCCCTACAAATATTGTGATGGATTCCAGTCGGGGAGTGGATAAATATTCATCCTTGTGAGTTTGCAGCAGCTGAGCCCGAAAATGTGGTATTGAGAGCCAAACGTATGGCGATGGCGTTACAGGTCACTTCGCCACGCCGCCACGCCCACCTGCTCTATCGTAGCTGGTCGGGGTTGGAATCCTCAATACACCAACATGTCTTCTGTGTCTGGGCACAGTTTCATGTTGATGAGGTCAAAGGGGTCAGATAGCGACCATTGACAGTAAAACATGACACTTCCTGTTCTCAGGGGGCGTGGCCTAAGTGATGTCATCATTCGACCATAGGGTATTGTAGTAGACCCGATGATGATCAACAACAGTAATTTTGGTACCTGTGTGAGTTTCTGTGTAGGAGATATAACAGTTTATTTTTTTACGGCGAGTAGGTGAACTTTGACCCCTGCTAATCCCCCTTCAGCTTACTCAAAAACTCACCGTTTAGATAACTTTAGATGAGACATGCCTTATGAACAGACTGACCGAGTTTGAAGCCGATCAATGGAAATCCCTAGGAGGAGATAGATCAAATACAAAGGCTGTAAACGGCAAAAATGGGGTCAAAAACCGAACTTGAATCCAAAATGGCCGACTTCTTGTGGGGTTTAGACCATGGCTCCAAGAGACTTTTTTGTACGTCCTGACAAGGTACACACGTGTACAAAGTTTCGTAATTGTAGGTTAAAGCATGGCTTGGGGCTGATCATTTAAAGTTTTCTAGGGGGCGCTATAGAGAAATTAGGCTACGCCCACCAAATATTGTGATGGATTCCTGTAAGGGAGTGTATTAGGATCCATCCCTATGAGTTTGCAGCAGCTGGGCCTGAAAATGTGGAATTGAGAGCCAAACGTATGGCGATGGCGTTACAGGTCACTTCGCCACGGCGCCACGCCCACCTGCTCCATCGAAGCTGGTCGGGGTTGGAATCCTCAATACACCAACATGTTTTCTGTGTCTGGGCACAGTTTCATGTTGATGAGGTCAAAGGGGTCAGATAGCGACAGTTCACAGTAAAACATTACACTTCCTGTTCTCAGGGGGCGTGGCCTAAGTGATGTCATCATTCGACCATAGGGTATTGTAGAAGACCCGATGATGATCAATCACAGAAACTTTGGTGCTTCTGTGAGTTTCTGTGTAGGAGATATAGCAGTTTATTTTTTTACGGCGAGTAGGTGAACTTTGACCCCTGCTAACCCCCCTTCAGCATACTCAAAAACTCACCGTTTAGATAACTTTAGATGGGACATGCCTTATGAACAGACTGACCGAGTTTGAAGTCGATCAATCAAAATCCCTAGGAGGAGATAGATCAAATACAAAGGCTGTAAACGGCAAAAATCGGCAAAAATGGGGTCAAAATGGGAACTTCAATCAAAAATGGTTGACTTCCTGTGATACTTGCACTATGACATTAATTGTAAATTTTGAGCGTCTTGGGGAGCTCTACAAGTGTACCAAATTTCATGTCTCTACGATAAAGTAAGTGAATAGCAGAGGGTAAAAAAGGGTGTTTTTCCAATTTCTAGGTGGCGCCGTAGAGACATTTCTGTTGCAATTTTTGCGACGACTTTAAAATACGTAAATTTTAAACAGGCTTAAGGCCTCTGCCAAGTTTGGTGAGTTTTTGAATATGATAAAGCCCCCAAAAAGCCAATTCATTTGGGTGGAAGAATAATAATAATAATAATAATAATAATAAACAATAGGAAAACAATAGGCCTTCGCAGCGCTTAGCTGCTCGGGCCTAATAAAGATTCTTTAAGTCTGATTTTATGTCAGTGAGAGAAAAAGAAGTATGTCTTTTTATGGTTTGTTCAAACTGTTTCTTTTACTTTGAAAAGATTTTGAAATATGCTAATTACTGTGGCACTCACCTTGCAGGAGCCGACTCCGGGCAGATCTCTGAAGAGACGTGGAACTTTCTCCACTCCATTTACGGCGGTGGACCTCTGGTGACGGTCCGACCAAGCGTCAGCCACCAAGAAGCCGAACCCTCGCAGTCAGAAGAGAAAATCGAGGTGGAGACGCGCTCAGTCTAATACAGCTCTTGAGACAAGACAAAGAAACATTCATGGATACAGTAATAAAAAGAAGCTTTTTATTTTGCACTTTTATTTCTGATGCATCCAATCAAAGGACCTCATCTTCACTGCTATGTGACAGCCTTTTGACGGAGGGATTTTACATGTCTTAAAAGGCTTGCCATGCTGTAAAAATATGTATAAAGCGCTCTTAAATTTCTATTAGCACTGTATATTTCACATGTTGGGATATTTTGGTTTTTTGTTTGTTTTTCAGAAATAAGCATTTAAATTTACTGTATGTGCAGCTACAAACACCTCTGAATGCCATATTTCTTTTCTGTTTGTCTTGACCAAATGAGCACATAATGTATGTCCATGTGTTGCTAATAATATCGATGAATCACATTTTACTTTACTGTAAATATATCACACATTATTCCTCTTGTATGAATGGTAAGGAAAGGATAAAATGTGACAATATCTAAAGGTTATGAAGGGACTAATTGCTGAGTAGTCTCAGGAATGATTTTTGTGTTTTGCACTGTTCTGTAGGCACACAAATTTGGCATGCACTATGCGGTGTCTAGTTTGTATTTGAATGTATCAGTACTGATAGTTTGTTGGTCAGAATTGAGCACTTGATTATTTATCACTAAAAAGAGTGATTCAATATGATGTCAATCGTTTGTTTTTTTGTTTTTTTTTTGTAGAAAATATTTGGCAGGCAGACTGTAATGCATGCTTATCTCTCAAGCACAGGTTAACTTAAGTCACATGAATCTGCATGTAGATGCAACGCTTCTCCTATATGACGTGGTCTGTCTTCACAGAATTGTACAGCTATAGGAAGCATCTTGTAGTATGAAATGAAAATCATCAGCAATCTTATTAAAGGCATTATTTTTGTGTATGGGCATGGTGTAGCTTTAAGTGCTGGCTGATAGGTCACCTAAATGCTGTATTCCAAGTTTATGCATTTGACTAAGATCTACCCTGATGATTTATTTTGCTGGCTGACACTATTAAAACTTGATGCAAACATGCTGAACACCGTGCATATTTGATGTCACGCTCTGGGGATAGAGAATGAGAGGAAATGTGTTTATATACAGTATTTAGTTTAGTAATTTGATAGCCAGAATTGCAGTTTGCAGAGGCAGAAAATCTTCAGGGTAAGTGTTGCTTTTTTAACCAGAGCGGCTGAGTCGGCTCACACACACCCCAGACTAGTTGGCTGGACTGAAAACATGGCTGCGACCGAGGCAAATTTAAGGAAGTGAGGTATGTGTAATTCTTCAGCTTCAAAAGCCTTTAAGGAGCAGACCTCCCGCGGGGCGCTTGTATTTGAAAAAGAAAAATGTGAAAACTTGAATTCAGTCGCACACTGGATAAGTCGTGCGGCCCTAATTTGTGGCTGCACCTTAATTACATCGGCAAAGTTGTGCGCGGAACAATCAGCTAGCTGCGGCTAGCCTTAGCGGCTAACTGCTACTTGAGCCTGAACGCAGCAGCTGAATTATTAAAACACACCGTTGAGTATAATCATATTTATCTGAATGTCGATGTAGCAAATATCTGAAGCAGCTATTATTAATTTTATTAGGCCAGCGACAACTAAAACAGACCCTCCCATACTCAAAGTATCTGGAGATAAAGCTAAGCTAACGTTAGCCAACTCGGCTAACTAGTCGATCATAACAGACAGATTCGAGTTTATTTATCCGCCGACTGACATGGAAAGGGTGTAACTTTATTTCTTATTTCTCTTGTGCATTTTTGGTGTAAGCGTCTTTGGGCAAAATGTGTCATTTTTAACTCGCGCTGGGCGCTAACGGTAAGTTTGCTACGTTTAGCCCGCTAAGCGACATGCTATAGATTAAGTGTGCTCTCCCTGGAAGTTGGACGGCGCTAACGTTTCAGGGGGACCAGTCTTCTGGTTTGGCGTTAATGTCAGGTTGTATTTTTAATATTCCGACTTTTACCCGCTTGCAGACTTTCTGTTAACGGGTCACACGTGTTTTGCGGCCACGCCGTCTAGTTTTTCTGGTTTTAACTGCATCCCCACGTCTCCCAACTTTTATCGGCATCTGATTAGCTGGGATGTTGGGGATTTGAGCGATTCTCATCGGTACGTATGGCAGCTCCATTTCGCGGATTTCTCGTTGCCAGCAGGCCTTTTGGGAAGTATTGGAAGTTCAGGTCAGCAACAGAGGGACACACTAGCTAAAACAAATTACAGTCTGCAAAACTCAAGGGCGCTTTCCATCAGTTTCTGTTTATAAAACTGTATTAGTTCACTTAAATGAGAACAGCGTTTATTCCCCCCGCCCCCCAAAATATGCCATACTTTAAAACCAAATCTGTCATACTGGTAATGCAATCAGATCAACACGTGTTACCACAACTGACAGCCAAACAAGCGCTTTATAGAGGAACAGGAAGTATGTTTAATACAACCGCACGTGTCCTAGCTTGGTAACAATTTAATTTCGCTTTGACACTTCAAATTTTAGTTTAAACTAACCTCATCTGGCGTGAAGTGGATCATTTACAGCAAGGTTGGGTTTATTAGTTATACATTTGCGTTTTGTGTTTATTCTGTAAGGCGTTAGTCATCATTTATTACCACAAAGAGCATTCAAAAACTTTATTGTTCTGAAAGGGAAATTAAATGTTGTTTTGTGGCTCTGTGTTGGAAGGATCTCCTGTAGCAGTCTGTATTACAGTAGATATGAAGAAGCCTCTGACCAAAGGTTATGTTGCAAAGCAGTTTTGTGAAGAGGATTTTTATGGTTGTCCAATTTACTTGATTTTTCAGAAGAATCCTTCTTGATTCCCCCAGTCCAGGTTGTTTAGCAGTTTCATCTTATCCATCTTGAAGAAATAATCATATTTACTTATAAAATAACAGTTGCACCAGCAGTTTGAGGAAGAACAATTATGAATTTGAGGTTGGAGAAAGTTTGTTTTATTAATCTTTATACCATTCAAAATCATAAATATACAATTAGAGAAGTGTAGAGGGGAAATTTAAATAAATGTTATTAAAAGTAAATCATGTGGAGTATAAATAAGATGTTTTTTTCTGCAATATGACTAATTTTTTTACTTTGTTTCCTAATTATTGTCCTAATGGAATTTTTTTCTGTAGTAGGTTGTAAAAGACTTACCAATAAGTGTAATATTATGACCTCCTAGTTAATATTGTGTTGCTCTTTCTTTGTTGTCAAGTTGTGGACTCTATTAGACCCCCTGATGTGCTCTGGTATCTGTCACCAAAATCTTTGCAAAATATCCTTTTAGTCCTGTGAATTGTGAGGTGGAGCCTCTGTGGATTAGCCTTCTTTGTGCAGAACATCCCACAGATGCTAGATTTAATTTGAGATCTGGCTGAATGCAGAGGCCTGGTCAATCCTTGATATTTGTTGTTGTTCTCCTCAATCCAGTCTCGAGCTCTTTTGCTTTTGCTAAGTGCAAACTTAGTTCAGGTTGCTTAAATCTTTAATTTCCCTTTGGGATTAGTAAAGTATTTTTGAAGTGAATTGAATTATCCTACTGAAAGTCCCTCCAGCCATCAGGGAAACTATTATACTTGGCTTTGAGCATGCTGTTGCATTGTCATCTTCAGAGGTCAACATGTTCACCCTGATTGGTTTGTAGCAAACTGTGATGAATTCTTTGACATAGCTGCCAAAAGGTGCGTTCACACCAGCGTTGTTTGGTTCACTTTAATTCTAGTTTTCCTAGCAGTTCATTTGTGGAAGTGTGAATGCTAATTGAACTTTGATATGGACAGCCAATATGCAGTCTGCATAAAAACCTCGGTCTCAGTTCAGTTTAAGTGAACTGAGATGCTGTTTGAATACATATGTGAACGCCAAGTGGACCGGAGACCGTTCCAAAAGGAGAGGGGGGGACCATAGCACAGGGCATTCTGGGTAACTGCAACAGGCTAGTCTGGGAGAAATAACTCATGGCCTGTTACCAAAGAAAAACAATTCTACACCATTTTTGTTTGCATTTTGTGAAGGAAGTTGTCCTGATATCTTCTTCAGAGAGTTTTGAGTTGTTTCTTTCAGTGGTTCTTGGTGCAGCGCCACCACAGGCAAGGAGGGGAACAGGTTTTTCAAAGTGTTTAAGTTGTTTGCAGTGTAAAAATGTAATAAATGTTACTATTGGTCCCAAATTGAAACAAGTCTACTCAACTATCAGATGTGAAAACATCCTAAACCACTTCCACCTGTCAGTAATTATATGTTAAGATATGACTGTATATATTATTGTTACAATTTTGTAAATGTTTCATTTTCCATGCAGTTCTCCAGCTCAAAATTTTTTTATTTTCAGTTTAAGATTGTTCTTCTGAAAAACTTATCAATCCCTAAAGTCTGCAGCCACACTGTGCAAGCCACTTGCTCTCCTGATTTTCCGACTTTCCGGTCATTACATCTCTGTAAGGCATACTTGACATTAGATTGCACAAGCGCTCAGGTCAGGCAGCCAAATCCACAATGAAATGATAACTTTGCTCTGGGGAGACTTGCATCACATATCCCACTGACAACTGGTTGCACTGTTAAACAAATGTATTAACAACAAAATATTCATCAAGACAAAGAAATGAGAGGAAATGCTCCACATAGTTACTCAATTAAACTGTAATGATTTTGATGAAATGATTAGTTTTCTCCTTCTTTGGTGCTCGTCAAATGAAGTCACTTAATTGGTTTTGTGGTGTCGAGTCTAAGGGTGAACCTTCTGTCTGGCTTCCTTTATGCATGGATGAATCACATTAGCTTTGTCAGCTGGACTCTTTAGTGGAGTGTGAGTAATACGTGCATATGGTAATTCTGGGTCCAGGCCGCTTCTGTATTTACTTGTTGGAGTAATATTAAATGCCTCTAGATTTGTTACTGGAATATTGTAGAAGGAAAAACCTGCTTAAAGTAGAGACAGAAAGCGGTTTTAAATACATTTGTTTTGACAGAGCATGCCCTTCAGATTGATGGATTGAGATGTAATGTAAATGAGCACCGCAGCTCAACGGCCAGTTTATCAAATATGAATTATTTCTCTGTGGACTGAAAGAATGCCTGTACCGTCTCTAGAAGGACGCCCAGTGAGATCATCTCTCTGTAAAAGTCACTTCAGTACGACCTTTACAGGGTAAGGTTTTTTTTTCTTGTCCCCTTTTGTTAAATTTATTAGATGGAGCCTGATCTGCAACATATTGCATTCTGTGTCTCTGACTGTGAATCCTTTAGGAAAAACAGTTGTGTGAAACAACAGAGTGGGGTTTTATATATATATATAACTGTAAACATCTCTCATTAATTACCCATTTGCATGCACAAAGCCAATTTGATTACAGATTACATCCTGAATAATAATGCAAGACTTTCTGTTTGTGTATGTATTGTGTAGTTTGGTTTAGATGAATACTTCAAAGCCTTTTAATTGTGAAGTCTGACATTTTAATAATTTCGTTATGAAAGCTACCATGTTGTTTTTGTTTTTCTCCCAATCTTCCTTTTGAGCTTTTAGTTTGATATTTGATGTTAGACGTAGGCTCTGTCTTACAAAAAAAAGCACAAGAACGAAATTCACAACTATTCTGAGACACATTTGCTTGTTAATTTGTATTTCTGTTCACATTATGAAGCAGTTTCTTGGCTTTCGCACCCTTACATTGTTCCCAGCAGGATATTGAAGCAAGACTGGGAGTGACCATTCAAGGGCTCTGCTTTTACTTGAGTTGTGTCAGGAAATTCATTGTCATGCTTTGTGTACTTTTTATTTTTGGGTACTCTGAAAGGTTATGTAAAGCTGTTTGGCCCCTCTGGCAGCAGAGATCAACAGCCTTATGGCCAACCAAAGTCTACAGTGTTATCTTGTCTGAGTATGAAGGAATCATAGTTTGGCATTCCTGACAGATATATCAGTCTACTTATAAACCAAGTCTATATTACACAAGATAAGCAGTAATCTCAGCATGGCGTGTGGGAATGAATATATATATATATTTGCTATCATGTTTTTATCTCCCTGAAAGAAATAGGAGGTGACCAATGAAAGGAAGCTTTGAGGCATTAGTCTACTGAGCTGGATGAAAACATTAGATATGACTGGGGCTGCACAATACTTGGAAAACAAGCAATATGTTCTGTAATAACTAGCTGTAATGTCTTGTAATAAATAAAATAAGAAAACTGTATTAATGTATTTTTATTTTGGGGTTTGTAGTAAATATAGAGCTCAGATAATAAGTAGTAAATCTATTCAGCGCCTGGAAACTGATTAAATTCAAGGTTTCCAGCTCTACAAGATTTTATTAAAAATATTTGGTTAAAATCTTATGCATTTAGCATTGAAATAAGTTAGTTTTGTGCTGCATTAAGCAACTGTCAACAATTAAATTTCAGGCATAGAGAGTCTGAAAGTATGATAATAATTCGCAAATATTTATTTCATCAGTTATCAAGCTTTATCAGAACCAGATTTCTCTGCAGAACTTAAATTAAGCCTATAAGGTCTAATCTTGGTCTCCCACATTTTTTTGAATGTACAGTGGTGTAAAGAAAAATGTATTCTGCACAATAAAAAAATGCTCAAAAAGCACTTCAACATGGGTTTCTTCAGGAGGTCCATTTCACAAAGAAGTGTGATTTTTATCACTAAGCTCTGCAGATGAATTGCATTTAATTATATTTTGAAATGAATTATTTATTCATGCTCTGATAGAGCCATTAGTGGTGAAAATAATATAGGTAGCAATCATGACAATGCATTAAGTGTTAAGCAGTTTGGAATTTATTATTCTTACAACAAAATTTAAATTCTTTATCGTAATAAAGGAGGATCAATGCCTTTCACCACTTTGGGGTTTCTTACTCAGTCTGGCTTTTGAGTCAAAGCAATGATTTTAGAAATAAGAAAATGACTACAGATTAAAAATTAGTTTTTATGTACTTATATTTTGTAAATTCAGAATTTAATCATTGTACAATATTCCTGTGCATGTTAAGACAACTCCCCAGGTTTCAGTTTTATTTACTTAATTCTAGGGTCATTGTACAATTATCTGTGGAATTTCTTTTTTCAGAACCACATTATTAATTTCATTTCTGAATTCTAAACAGGATTTTTATTGACTTGGTTTGGAAAATATAGTTTAGTTTCCCACCATTGGGAAAAATAGAGGCAGACTGACAGGTCAGTAGGTGTTGTCAAATTGTTAAATGTTTGATTCTGCTCAAGTGTGGTTTTAAATTTCACTAAAGCTTCACTAATCCTGACAGTTGCACGTGTATTTTGTAATTTGCTAGGCGCTGTAATTAAACAACTAGTATTTTTTAAGTTTTGGTTGTCACTTGCTCATTACTAGCACCTATTTTCCACATTTTCTCCTGTTTTAATACCTTTTGGGACTCTCCTTAACTTATTCCAGTTGGTTGAATAAAATTTCAATAAAAGTTTTATTCAACATGCATCAAGGCAGAAGTCCAATGACAATTGCAGGATGCCGACAAGGACTGCAATCAGATTGGTGACAAAATGTAACAGTGAACTTACATTTTCATTCAGGATTTTTCTCTTCCTCTAGGAAGAGTTTATTAGTGCATCTGTGTAAATTACACTTCTCCATCAAACAAACAAAATTCCCAATATATATTTATAGAAATCTATAGAAATTGGTGTACTTGAATCTCTGACCTGCATCAATTTGTTCACTCAAACTACACTGGACTTTCCATGAATGTCTCTTAATTTTCACCTCAGGAGTTTCTCCTGTCTAGGCTCCATTACTTTTTATAGCAATGTCTCTATTAATCTGTCTACATTTTGCTGAGTTCCAAGTTTTTCCTGGTAGCTGATCGCTCTCCTAGTCGAAACAATCCTGCAAACACATACTGCAACTAAAAACACATTTATTGTTCTACAGAAGCAGCGCCGTAAAAAAAAAAAAAATTATGGCACTGGTAGCCTTTATTCAACAGTACTTTGACAGAAAGGATGACAGAGAGAGAACGGGAAGACATGCGGTATATGGCCTGTATATGGTGCACTTGTTCTACCACTGCCAGACTTGGCATTGTCACACTTTGTAATTTCAATCACTTTGTAAATATTTATTTTTCAACACAGTGCATAGAATGTGCTTAATTAAATAAAAGTGTGCAGGGTTTCTTAACTACTTACACTTGTTAAGATGTTATTGTTAGTAGACTCAATACTGCTTGGCAACTCAAGAACTACTTGTACTAATACATAGAAACAGATTATGAAGCTCACATTTGAGGTCTACTAGGCAAAGTTGCATAATTACAACATATATAGTGCTTTGTGACTCAGACTTTACAGAGACAAGGTTGCAGTGTTTTATTACCAGTACATCTTACTTATGACAACAATGCATTGGTTTGTGTCTTTCAGATGCCCACATTCTGTTGCAGAGGAGAGTGCACCAGGATGAGGAGACTGTAGGCACCCGCCGTAGTATGGCCGCGTCCCGTTCTTCGCGTGTCACAAGATCATCAGTGGGGCTCAATGGATTGGATGAGAAGTTTTGTGGTCGAACCCTCAGAAACCGCAGCATCGCCCAGCCAGAGGAGACCTCAGTATCTCCACAACCTCGGGCACGCTCCCCCAAAAAGAAGCAGGAGTCCAAGCAGGATGCCAATAAGGACAACAGGCAGGAGTCCAAGCATGATGCCAGAAAAGAGTCAAGGCACGATAACAGTAAGGACTCCAAACAAGAATCAAAGCAGGATTCTAGTAAAGACTCCAAGCAGGAGTCAAGTCAGCATGCCAATAAGGTTTCCAAGCAAGAGTCAAAGCCTGATACCAGCAAGGTCTCAAAGCAAGAGGCCAAGCAAGATACTAGTAAGAACTCCAAGCAAGAGTCAAAGCAGGATACTAGTAAGAACTCCAAGCAAGAGTCAAAGCAGGATACTAGTAAGAACTCCAAGCAAGAGTCAAAGCAGGATACTAGTAAGAACTCCAAGCAAGAGTCAAAGCAGGATACAAGTAAGGACCCCAGACAGGAGTCAAAGCAGAATAACAGTAAGGAGTCCAAGCAAGAGTCCAAGAAGGATACAAATAAGGACTCTACACAAGAATCAAAACAAAAGAATAGCAAGGACTCTAAGCAAAACTCCAAGCAGAACACAAGTAAGGATTCCATTAAGGAGTCGGAGCAGGACATTGTCAAGGAGTGGGAGCAGGACATTGTTAAGGAGTCGGAGCAGGACGCCGTCAAAGAGTCGGAGCAGGACGCCGTCAAGGAGTCGGGGCAGGACGCCGTCAAGGAGTCGGGGCAGGACGCCGTCAAGGAGTCGGAGCAGGACGCCGTCAAGGAGTCGGAGCATGACGTCCTCAAGGAGTTGGAGCAGGACGCCCTCAAGGAGTCGGAGCAGGACGCCCTCAAGGAGTCGGAGCAGGACGCCCTCGAGTCGGAGCAGGACGCCCTCAAGGAGTCGAAGCAGGACGCCGTCAAAGAGTCAAGGCTGGAGTCGAATGACAATAAAGAAGACAACAAGCAGGACACTGGTGAGAAACTTAATAAAGACTTTGAGACGGAGTCAAAGCATGCTGCTAAACATGACACAGAACCACAGGAAACCTCCTTGCAAGAAAGCCAGCAACTGGACATGTTGCAGAGAAACATAGCTGACTCCAGTATTCCTGCAGGTGATGAGGATCATTCGACCGTCTCTAGGAAGCGGGGCATGACCCATTTGGAAAAAGACCTTAAACAAGAGAAATCCGAGAACTGTGACACAGGGAAAGAGTGGCGGAATACCTCGCCTCCAATCAAAAGGGCCAAGCAGTGCTCTCTCTCTGGAGAGTTTCTGGGACACGAAGAGGACCAAGGGTTTCTGAATCCCCAAAGTCAAGTTTCTGTCTTAGAGCCTTGCAAGGACTTAATTTGTGAAGACTTACCCAGCCACAACTCTTGTAATGCACCTCCTGCCTCCTCTATCCTCAGTGAGCAGGAAGGTGAGGTAATTGGGCGACAGGTGAAGGAAGATCATTGCATGGATTGTGATGGGCCAGTTTTGCCACAAAATTCCCATAAGGCCTCTAATGGACTCAGAGAAACTGATGCAGAGAAAACAAGCACAGTCACTGAACATCCCAGTGCAACCCCCACCTCTACCACCAGCTTTCCTTCTCTGCTAAATGGGAGCCAAATGGAGGCTCCCTCATCCCCTGACTCCTCTGTGCCTTTTAGAAACTCTGTACCTGGGCAAATGGAGGTCTCTGGCTCAGGAGAATCACCAGCCTCATCTGCACTAACATTTATGGGTGCTGTAGAAGATCCTGTTCCTGAGTTGATAATGGCCAAAGAGCAGGAGGTGGAGGAGGTGGAAGTCGATGTGGTGGGTGACCCCTTGGGTCTGGCTCACGAGGAGCAGGTGACTGTGACCGAGGGCGATACAAACGGCCGGTCACCATCTCCAGTACAGGAACCTGCTGCCTCCACTTTGTTCTCTACTGCGAACGTAAACTGTAGTTCAGTCAACAACAGCAACTCAGGAGAAACTATGCCCACGCCCACAACACCCCAATCCCCCACAGAACCAGAGTGCAACCCTTCAATGTCCAGCATGACCCCTTCTTTCACAGAGCTCAACGAACACAGATATACCCTGCGGACTTCACCTAGGAGAGTTGTGTCTGGTGGGAAAACATCTCCCTCCAAACCCAGCTCTCCTATAACAGACAATGGTCCCTTTAGGGAAGAAGGGGAGGTGGAGGACGACTGTCCAATGTTAGAGGAACCTTCTTGCTCAGACTCAGTTGGCCTCTCCATTGAGGAGCCAGGTTCTGTGAATCCTAGTTGTAGAGTAGGTGAGAAGGACAGTGACTTTATGGAGGACAAGGAGGCAGAAAATGGCAAGGAGCTAACACGAAGCGAGGCAGTTGAAGAAGAAGAGGAGGAGGAGGAAGAGGAGGAACCAGACGTGTATTACTTTGAGTCAGACCACCTGGCTCTTAAACACAACAAAGAGTATGTGAGAGCTCTCAAGGGATATTGGATAATAATACTTTAGTTCGTTTGACCTTATTTCATAAAGTAAAAACAGTCTCATGTTTAAATGTTACATGTGGTAAATATGCATAAAATACAGTATGTGGTTTTAGTTTAATGTGTAGTTAATAGATCTTAATATCACTCAATTGTTAAATATTGTGACGACTATATCAGTTACTTTCCTACATTTTCCTCACTCCTTTTTTGTTTTTTTTGTTTTTTTACTGAGCTATAAAATCTTGTCCATTAAGCCGAGATTATAAATAGTAAGATCTGTGACTCTTGGACATAAAGCTTGGCACACAGATAAATATTACAGTAACTTCTTTTACTTTGGGCCAAATCGCCCAATATGTTGCTGCAGCAAAATTGCATCAGATAAAGCCAGCAGAGACATATCAGTCCATTAGTGAATGAACACAGTTATGGCTGTTCATGTGCTTATTATTATTATTAGAGGAGCAGAAGGAAATAGTAATGGCAGTCAATCTACACCATTTTCCTCCAACACCAGATTTTATTTCTATTTAACAGTGAAAGATCAACACATTTTGTAGCTATATTAATGCAAAGTAAGGTGGTGCCGTTGATAGTAAGTAAATTAATGTGTGTTAATGCAGTTCAGAGGTCTGGTGTGAATTCACACCTGTATGTAGTGACGTCAGTATGCAATTGGGTCACAAAGTGACAGGGGTTCCTATGCAGTAGTGCCATCAAAGTCACTAAACAGACCTTACAGTAAAGTGTAGTATCTCCAAATAAAGCCCAGATTCGATATGACATCAACTTTTTCTTCAGGATTCTGTAAATGGTTTGAAATATGGGGACGGTTCAAAAACATACATACTATTGAGACTGCACATCTTGTCAAGAGATGGATCAATAGAAAAAAACATTTTTGATAGTTCCAGTTTAGATTAATACAATCTTTAAAAAAAAAATACTGAACTGCAGATGCATACAGAAGTAGAACGAACATATTATGGGGATTTCAGCCATTGGAGGTCTGTTCACTCCTAGATCTTCTGCTTGGCCCTTTTTGGATTGTTTATTGTTGCTGTTGAGTCCTCCAAGTTATGGAGTTAAGTCTTTCAAATGGAAAAACACACTGTCTTGTAGAGCTAGGGGAACAATTAGGGAAAAATGTAAATATTGTCCAAACAAAGCTTGGTGTCTGAAGAAATCTGTACTTTCCAAAGTAAATTTGGTTTGGAATTGCAAAAATGCGGGAAAAACATTTTCATTAAATCTTCTACGCATCAAATTAATTTGTTATCCCACTGATAAAATCTCTTAATTTTAGTTGCTTTTCTGTCATCAGCATCTTGGTGATTTTAAAATCTATTTCAAGGATAGACTCATTTTGTGAGTCTATCCTTGTAGAGGTAATTACTGGTTGTTCTGCCCAAACTTGGCATCCATAGTTAGCAAGAGCTGGCAATAATCACTGATTAATTTCATCCCAGTCTTTAGAAACATGTCAATTCAGCCACGTTAGAGGTGTGGAGTATCTGAAATCAAGACTTTAGCTGAACCAACCCCAAACTTGTTTTTTTTTTAGTTATTCACAAGGTCTTGCTACTGTTCTTTAGATTATTGTCCTGTACTGATGGCTGGATGCTCTGCAGGATTTTCATTCCCAATCCCATCATTTATAACAAGTCGTCCAGCCCCAGACCATCACATTACCACCACCATTAATGACTCTCAGTACAAATAATGTTCGATTTAGTCCTGGTCAGAATATTTCCCCTGGACTCTTTGGGATCACCAAAACGTTTTGATGATCATCATCCTCCATGAGGTTTTAGCCACTTGGAGCTCATTTTTCCCTCTCTTTCTTTCTGATTCTTGAATTATGAGCTCTGGTCTGAACTGAGGCATGCGAGTCCTGCAGAGATTTAAATGTTATTCTGGGTTGTTTTGTGAACTTCTGACTGAAAGGTCGACTTTATCTTGGAGTAATTTTGATTGATCTCCTGGGAAGGTTCACCACCGCTGCATGTTTTCCCTAGTTGTTTTTTTTTTTTCTGCTGGCTTTCCAAAGTTTTAGAAACCTTTCCAAACCAAACTGACAGATGTTGACTTTTCTTACCGTTTCTTGGACAATGTGTTGCTTTATGAAATCTTTTAGTCATCAAAGATATTCTTTGTAAGCTATTTATTATATCTGCAGGTCAGGTAATAATTGGGGTGGGGATTTGGGGCTGGTAATTCATGATTTATCAAGGGAGATAATTACTTTTTTCCTCAAGCCCTGGTTGTTTTGAATAGCTTTTTTTTGTTGATAAGTGAAATTATTGTTTGAAAACAGCTTTTTGGATTTTTTAGGATTATCTTCGTCCAATATTAACATTTGTTTGATGATTTGAAACATTCAAATGTGAAAAAAGTTGACTTGCAAATCATTCTTGTCTAAATCTGGTATCTTTTGACATAATTAAGAAAACAAAACCAAGTTTTGATGGCTAACAGCTCTGATTCATGAAGTCCGTTTTGTCACTTACATTAGTAAATGTTAGCGATTTTAAAAGCAGTTATGGGATTTCAGTGCTCTTTGTAATTTGATCACGCTTTAGTGTCATGGCAATGTTTGCCTTTGCTGAATGAGGAGGATTTTTAAAGCTTGGATCGATGAGGCCTGGAGTCATTTTTGATGCAGGCATGATGTGGCATTTTTAGAGCTGCTGATTAAACAGAAATATCAGATTGTAATTTGTTCCCTGACAGAACATCCCATATTTATATCCGCTTTGCCATCATTTGCCGTCTTCAAATTAGTGATTAAACGTTAAAATGGAAACATTCACGTCCAGGCCAGTTTTTAATCATGTGGCCTTGTTTGTTGTCAGACCTCAGGCCCAGTAGGTGGCAATAAAACACCAGACTTGTCCCTGGATGTTTGGATGAACTCCAGAGGGCTAAAAAGCACAACCAAGTCTTCCTGCTTTTCCAAAAACAGCTTCACACACTGCAAAAACATCTTATCTAGTATTTCTGGTCTACTTTTGAGTGCAAATATCTTAACATCTTGAAATAAGACAAACTAACTTAGAAGTAACTTTTCAGCAAGAAATATGTTTTAAGTCAGTAATTGATTAAAATTGATTAAAAAGTACTAGTTTCACTGGCAGATCATATAACTTTATCAATATTAGGGACACATCTATTGAAATAAGCTCCTGTGTCTTTCTGAAAAGTTACTTGTCAGTTTTGTCTTATTTCATGTCTAGTCGGATATTTACATGAGAAACTAGACTAAAAATACTTTATAAGATTTTGTGTTTTTGTCCAGTGTGAAAGCATGAATAATTCACTTAGTGGAAATTAAAAATTAAGCATATTTGAAGAAATACTTGGTAAGATTTTGTGTTTTTGGCAGTGGATCGAAATCATGCACTCAACAAAACAAGTTTGCATTCTTCCTTCTGTTTTAATCAGAATTACTTTCCAGTAGCCCTGTCGCAATAAATAAATTAATTGCATGATAAATTAAAACAAGTTTCATAATTTCCATTTGCACCATCAAAAGTTGTGCTCTTCTTTGTCTTTTTTACAAAAACTGGATGATAAACATCTTAAGTCTGCTGTTTTGGTCTCAACTCGACCTTTTTTTGAGGGACAATTATGTTCACAAACATTTTATTTGTTGTTTATTTTAAGGAATTAAATGTCTTCCAGGCCCAGTGTTAAATGTTTGTTAGAATTTAAAGTTTATTGACCTTTGATTGTGTATTCTTGTTATGCCATTATTACCATTGTATTACTTGAAAATAGTCTCAAAACAACGACATTACCATTTGTTATGATAACTTCTGGTGTTATCCAGTAACAGATCACGACAGACCTACTCTCCAGCACATAAAGGTTGCTGTGCTTTAAGCCTGCTTGGCTTAGACTACATAAATGTGTCCTTTTGCACTGATTTGTTGCGTTCAGTGAGGTCGATGCTCTCTGGCCATTTGATCTCCTACATTAGCTTATAGCTTTGTGCAGTAGGAAGCCTTTGGATCTGCGCCAGTCCGTGATGCTTCAGTTTGCAGTTGTTCAGTTACTCCAGAGGCTGTGAGGAGAAAGGTCAAACATGCAGTTCTGATGGCAAGAACGATTGTGCAATTTACAGAAGCAGCACCTAGAAAGAAAATTTAACATTGACATTCAATGTATTCCTTGTAGATAAGTAGAAAATGGCTGCATTTGAGACATCTTCAAGGTTCTCTCTTGATGCAGACGTCCGGTTAAATAATGTAATCAGTCCTGACATTCCTCGGTCTAACCTTGTTTCCCTCTCCTCCAGTTATCAGCGGCTGCTGCAGACCATCGTAGTACTGGAGGCGCAGCGAGCTCAGGCCATTCTGGACCTGGAGACGTTGGCACGTCAGCAGAGGGAGGCTCTCTCTGAACCCATCAGCTTTGTGGAGCAGCTGCAGAAACAGGTGAACAAAACACAGAGCCCTCTGCAGTATTGATACGACACGGACCACAAATATATTCGCTTTTCATCTTGGATTTTGTTGGACTCAAACCAGTGCACGATTTTGGAGGAAAATGACAATCATAATGTGAAAGCTCAGCATGCATTTCTTCTCAAATCTGGACTTTGTAGAAGAGAAACTGTTGACAGGAAGCCATAAGATGCTCATTTTGTCACAAGCCATTTAGGGAAACCCACAAACACACGGAAGAAGTTGCTCTCAGCTTCCTCTGTTGTTTCTTTCTTCCTTTCAATGACATTTTTTAAAATAAAATTGACACCGGCAGCAATTATTTAAGTAAAAGAAAAATATGTAATGTATGCATGTTGGAGAACCAGAAAAATGTGGTTCACTGTTTTTGTCCTGTTCTGCCAAAGATGAAGCCTATTTTTAATTAAAAGCTGCAACTAAAAATCATTTTAGTTATTCATTATTTTGATAATAAACCCTATTAATTTAGAGAAAAATGGTCACATTTTGCAGATTTTTCACTTAACCTTTAAAGCCTGTTTTATACAACACTAGAAATGCATTAAATATGCAACTAACAAACTAATTTAAATCCTTTTTAAAAAACGAGAATGAACATTTTATTGTCTAAAATGCAATTATATACCATTCCTTTGGCGTAAACTTGATCATTTGTAGCATCTGCAGCTAATAAACTCTTCTAATGTGTGAAAAGCTCAGCACTTTTTGGTTGACAGCACTAGCAGGGTTGATCTGTTGATGATTTTACAGATTAACCACTTAATGATTTGATAGCAAAAGGTGTTAAATAGGAGATTTTTTATTCTCCCAGAATTTGAACCAGTTGTTCTGGGGAGAACATATTTACAGACAAATGTGGGTATTTTTTAAATCTTAAATACAAAATGTCTATATTTTAGATCCAGTTTTGTCTTAATTTCTCGTCTGAAACTTCTACCGACTCTTGTCTATTTCGGTTAACAATTAATCGATTACTGAATTAGTTGACGATTATTTCAATTCATCATGGCTAATCTGATGAGTCGCTTTGGCCCCTATTTTAATTGTTTAACTTAATCAGTGGTTTTCTTTTTGAGTCTCAGGCGAATTTGGGTCTGCCGTGTCCTCAGCGGGTCGTCCAGCTCCCGGACATCGCCTGGGAGCAGTACACCTCCGGTCTGGGGGAGTTCGAGAGAGAGTTCTGCGACAAGAAACGGAAAACCCGGCAGCTGAAGTTAATCTTTGACAAAGGCAAGTCTGAAGTTAGGATTTGTTTAGCTAATTGTTCTATTTTTAGAAATGGACGTTGATTTGATTCTTTTTGTTTACTACAGGTTTGCCTCTTAGACCAAAAAGTCCTGTTGAACCCAAGAAAGAAGGTGAATCGTCAGCTGTGTACTCCTCTCTTCCCACCAGTGACGCCCCTGAGAACGGCAGGCAAACACAGGTAGAGTCCCACAGTCTGTGGAAATACGAAGGCTGATGTCGGAGTTTCCAGGTCCGGATAAATACCGAAAAGCAAAATAAGAGAACTGCAAAATATTAGTACTTTGAGATTTTATTCCCAATCCTGTTGTCTAAATGGAAATTCTTTGTTTCTGTTCTTCCTCCTTCTTGTCTTCTCTTTCTTCTGTTCTTGTGTTTTTCTTTCTGTCCTTGTCCTTTTTTGTCCTTCCTTGTTTACTACCTTTGTGACCTTCCTTTCTTTCTTCCTTATGCATTTTCTTTTTCTGCTCTTTCTTTCATTCTTTTTGTCCTTTCAGTAATCGCTTTTCTTTATTCCTTTCTTTAAATTGGTTCTTTCATCTTTTCTTTGTTCTTTTTTTAACCTTTTCTTTCTTTGCACTTTCTTTTTTTTTTCTTTTGTGCTTACTTGTCTTTCATCCTTTTCTACTTTCTCATCCTGTCTTACTTTGGTTCTTTCTTTCTTGCATCCTTCCTTCCATCTTTCCCTTTTGCATTTATTTGTGTCATTGTCTTTTTACTTTCCTTTCTGTATTTTTTTCTCATTTAATACGCTCTTTGGGTTTTCTCTTTTTTCCTTCGTTGTGTCCTTCATTCCTTCCCTCTCTCCTATTTTCCCTCATTTATCTTCCCACGTTCTTGTTTTTGCAGGTCCTGTATATAAACCCTGAACATTGTAAAAATGTCTGGCCATAAAATCTCAGTAGTTTATATTTTAAAATGAACACAAATCACTGAAAACTCAGAGACGTTTACTCTGAAAGAGTAAACCAGGAGTATTTACAGATCCATATGTTTGATTCATCAATGGACTTTTTAATGTTGAATTCGTCCATCGCTGCTGTCTGTTCATCATTAGCACAGATGCAGCGGCAGCAGTTTCTAAATCTGGCTGATGAGTCACTCCTCTCCCACTAGTTGTCTCACAGATCAGCTGGTTTTTACCTTTTTACACCTCCTCCAACCTCTTCCCTTTCAGTCTTACTGCTTTGCTCAGTTAAGTGTTAAAAAATCACAAAGTATCTCTGAAAACAAGCCTCTTCTCTCCTCTTTTCATGTGTGTGTATTCACTCTCCCACAACCACATCAGCATTCAGGTTTTACGTTTTAATTTGATTGTTTGGATTAGAAAGGTGCAGAGCATCCTGCTCTGAGCTGACAACTGCTGCTTTTTTTGTTTACTTTGTGCCGACACATTTGCTTTCTCCCGGCTGACATTCTCTGCATAGTGAAAGGATTTTGTTTGTCAGTCAAAAGGATCTGCTGCTTTTTTTTCCGCACACTCCCAGCGACACGTTTCAAGCCATGTCTGACAGCCAGCCTTTCTCTGTCAAGCTGAAGGATTCATATTGCCTGGCAGTTTGCATGTTGAGATCCTTTCAAGATGTCGGCGGTGATGTGCTTTATTTTTGTCTTGTCAGTCTCTTAACATGCCTGTCGCTGTGTGTTGTTGGCAGATGATCAGGGGGAGGATTTGTCACCCAAATAAGCCGGACACGTTTAATCAGCTGTGGACGGTGGAAGAGCAGGTTGGTAGCAGGAGTTAAACACAAATCTGTACATTTATTGTTTTCATTCTTCATGGGATTCACTCAGTAATTTGTTTATATTTAGTGCCTTCTTGAATCCCAGGTCATACGGGTTTTTAATATTCATGAAGGTGTTTGGAAAGTGCTTGAGTTCTGTATAAAATCCTTGAAAGTGCTTGATCAGGTTTGTAATAAAAGCAGAATACAAAGTTAGATTAAAAGCCTACATTTGGAAAGCGTTATTTATATTTGAAACCAGATGTTTTCATACACCTAATAAAAAGATTCACATATCTATTTTTCTCCCTTTCTGAAGTTAAATCAGACTAAACTTTTCTTGTTTTAGGTTAGATGCAATAACCTAAAATGTGTTATTTTACAGATGTTTTTGTAACTTTCTTTGTATATTGTTTTAAAACATTTAATTTGTGCAGGAACGTCATTTACCTTAACATGATTTGTTTGGATTGCTTTAGTGTAATGAATGTTATTACATTTAAATATCTTACTGCACATAAAAAGGACAAAACTAACTTTCAAGTAACTTTTCAGCAAGAAATAGGAGCTTGTTTTAAGTATATAATTCTTGAATATAAACAAAAAAATTGTATCACTTATTACATATCTTGTAAGTGACAAAAATTTACTTTTTTTTAATTAATTGAATAAAATCATTAGCAGATCAGCCATACATTGAATTGATGTTCAGTCAAGCAGAATTGCCTGCAGATGTTTTAGTTAAAATAGATTGTAATACAAACATTTTTAAATCACGTCCTACTTTATAATTATGCTGTGCTTTGGTCCATCACATAAAATCCTTATGAAGAGCATTGAAGCCTGTGGTAAAAATGTGGAAAAAATGTAAAAAAAAAAAAGTTCAAAAGCTATTGCCACTTTTGCATGCATACTTTTTGGTATATTTGGCTTTTTTATTATAAGACAGAACTAAACCCAAAAACAAAGCCTGATCCATAAAACCAGCAGAAAAATGCAGGACATATTCCAGCTGCTCTTACTTTGTCTGAACAGAATAAAGACAGAGAGACGTGTTGTCATGATGGAGGAATAAAGTCTAAGTCTAGCTGTGCAGAACAGGCACCACCCAAATATGTTAAGTGCTTTCACACTGTGGGAACCTTTTTATAGCTCTTTAAATTATTTCTATGCACAGCAGGAGCTGCCGCCTACACTTCTTATAGGATGTTTGCTTTCCACCCTCGCTTCACCTTGGAATGTAATTGGAACAAAAACTTGCACATGGTAATCAGTCTGGACAATAAAAATTCACTCAAAAGAATCAAACTGAACAGCAAAACCACAGGGTACAAAAAAGTCCCCAGAAAAACAAAACAAAAAAAGAAACATTAGATGATTTATTTTCCCCATTTTGTCTTAATCTTTGTTAAATAAAATCTCTGATGTGTTTCTGATTAATTTTTACTTCGATTTAAATAACTTTGTAAATTCAACGCAAACCAGATCAAGTTTCTATCTTGTTTCATAAAACCTTCTATTTTCCAGGTGATGATAATGATTTGAAAGATTATTGTAGTTTCATCTGGGGGTGGGAGAAAAAAAAATCATCATTTTCATTGCATCAAGATGCGAACATTCATAATTCTGACCCAAATAACCCCATTAACATAAATCACTTGGAAAAGATTCATGCTTTATGCATGATGTGTGAAGTTGGAAGAAAATCTTTTGAAACAAGAGTTGCTATATAACAGTTTTCAACGTGGAAATAACAAAGCTGATATATCCTCCAATCATAAACCGCAAAAAAAGATGAGGATGTGTGTGTCAGTGTTACATCAATCGCTTTAGAGTCGCACCTCGTCTTTCTGAATTATAATTTAATCAATTTGCCAAGTGCCTAAGTATTCCCAGCTCCAGATTTATCTGAACGTTTTGTTTTGTTTTCATAGAAAAAACTGGAGCAGCTTCTTGTTAAGTTCCCGCCTGAAGAAGTGGAGTCCAAAAGGTGGCAGAAGATCGCTGATGAGCTCGGCAATCGAACGGCCAAACAGGTGACGCTACATTAGAAAGCAGAAAAACACCAAAACAATTGCAAAACCGTTAACTCCCTTACTTCTGGTAGCATTTGTGTTTTTTTATCTTTGCTTGTTCAATGGAAAACAAGTCCTAGGGTGAAACTTGTTGAGAGGTGAAGCTGCTGATGCCTGCAGGTGTTGGAACTCGGTTACTTCCTCTGCTGGAAGGGATTAATGAATCAGTTTTCCTCCTGAAACATCGCAGGTTGCCAGCAGGGTTCAAAAGTATTTCATCAAACTGACAAAAGCTGGTATCCCTGTGCCTGGAAGAACCCCCAACCTCTGCATGTACACTAAAAAGGTAACTGCCACTCATCTGCCAAACCCTTCAACTATATAATGTAACACTAACACTCAAATAAAAGCTAAGACATTTATTCAGTTGTACTGGCTGGGAGCCCAACTCTTTGTTTTCTAAGTGTTTTTCCCCCTCCTTTTTTCATTTGCTTTTAATTTGTTTCCTCTTTTTATCCAAGTAAGCACATTTTTGCTGTCTTCCTTTGCTATAAATGTTATAACAATGTGGGAAGACTGAATCCTTCTCAGCTCAGGGCGCAATTTTAATGTTTTTGGGAACAAGATCAGTAAAACTTAATCGATCTTTGTCCAAAAAATCTTTTTTATTATCCTAACTTATAATTATGTCTGTAAAAAGGAAAAACAAAGCAGAAAACTGTAAAACTAAACTGAGTAGGAGATAATAAACATGTTTGTTCAGCATTTAACTTTGTTTTTTTTTTTTACTTTTTCACACTAGAAAGATTTTCTCAGTCTGATTTCTCTTTATTTTGGACTTTGTGTTGTGGTAATTTTAAACATATTTTATAAAAACATTTCTTAAAGTAAGTCATGCAATAAATACAGAGGATGCATTTAATTGTTATATTTAGCTGAATGGAAACCCTCTTGATCTTTGACAGGCTTTTTCTGAGAGTTAATTTATAATCGGTTCAATCTGCTGTGGAGGAAAATCCCTGGCCATTAACGGAGGTCCGACTTTGAATTAACCTGAGGAAATACAGCAACTAATCAAATCAAAGATAATCCATTTTCCACTTTGTGCTCACGACTAAATAACCAATTAGGTAAACATTTGTGATTTGCCATAAACTATAATGTAAATACCAGATATCTTTATTTCAGTGCATCCTTAGAAATGGAGTAACATTTTCTGCACAGAGAAAAGCAAAATTTTCAACCCTCAATGAATTCAAGCCCCAGACCTCCGTGAAGCACAGTGGTGTAAGCATCATGATATGGGATGTCTGTCATTTGATGAAGATGGGCCTATTTGTCACATGAAGGGGATTATAGATCAGTTTAAAAAGGAAAATCCCTTGAAATGTCTGTTTTGAATAGATTTAAAAACCCAAATACTCCTGAAAATGAGCCGTTTTGTTTTCCGCAACAAACAAAACTTGTTGGGTTTATTTAAAATATTTAGTTTCTGATGAAGAACAAAGAAATGCACCGGAGTAATGAAATATAATCTAATTGTCTTGGACTTCTCAAAGGTGCATAAAGCTGGCCGACTTGATGAGGCTGTTAATTTTTTTAAATTTATACAGTAACTGTTGAAATTTAAGACGTTTTTAATCTTATTTTGTTTTGAAATACAGCATGGAGTGTTCTCAGTGCATTTGTCTGCATGCTAACTAAATCTGTTGCAAGAATTTGCTTCACTCACTTTTTGTAAACACACCGGTTACCTTAAGCACAAGTCTATAACAAATATAAATATGTAAGTTTTAGCTTAAACGTTATAGATATTAAAGGGTTTTCTTAGAACTTTGTATTTGGATACCAGAGCCATTTTTTCCCCTCTTGACGCTGTTATAAACTTTCAACATTTAAAATGTAAACCTTGGTTTGTAGAACCTTTGACTGGCAATATGCAGTGTTAGTCTGATTAAACTAAATTTAACTAAATGGAAAAAAAAAATAATATTTGTTTATCTATGTATAAAATTGTAAAATAAAATATCTTTCACTTAGGTCTGTATAATATTGTAATTTCCAGATTGTTTTGTATAACAGCTTGTTTTCTTTGCTCAAAGGGAAGAATTATATAAAATTAACATTCTGTCCGGGTTTCTACTGCTTCTAAAAATTAACTGTTTAATAAAAAAAACACCACCCAGCTGTTTTTGGCATTAATGTTTTTTGTGTCTTGAAAAAAAAATTTAATGACAAAAAAACTTCCAGAATTAATGCACCGTTGCCTAGCAACCCGAGCTGAATTCCAGAACATTTGCTCAGCTGATTTCAAATTCAAAAAAACTTTAATCATCCCAAAGGGAAATTAAATTCAATTACATTAAATTGCTCATCGTCCACAAACCACTTGCCGAATAGACTGCGTTTTAATTTTACTGTCCCCTCATTTTGACACATCGCTATCGATCCACGTCAAAAGAAAAACAAAGCGAGCGCGTTTGGCTGAGGCTCAGAAAGCCTCCCTTTGTTTGTAACCGCCTCTGGTTTCCCTGCAGGCCTCCAGCAAGAGACAGCACCACCTGAACAAGCATCTGTACCGGCCGTCCACCTTCCTGACCTCCTACGAGCCTCCGGTCTACATGGAGGATGAGGACGAGCGCGCGGCGTTTTACCACAGCGTGCAGGACCCTTCTGCTGACGAGTCGGTCAGTCAGAACAACTTTTTACCGACTTAAATTATTGAACAGTTATTTGAAAGTTAGTTTTATTTTATTGCCTGTATTTGCATCAAAACTAGTAAATAATGCGAGGTAAGTTTTTGTGCTTTTTGCAGTGCACACACTTCAATTTTAGTTTAAAAATTGATGTATGTAGATTGGCGTATACCACCATATGGCAGGAAAAATAAAAAATAAGCAATAAAAATAAGTAATATAGGTACTCCAATTAATTACGTCTATGCTATTTACTAGTATTTAAATTAATATTTCATAATGAATCAAATTGTGACCCAAAGAATCAAAATTCTCTAACATTATTTGAGTGAAACTAATTAAATAGCTTTAAATTTCATCTACAAACACACTTTGATCTTTTCTATTTTCTCAAGAAGTTCATATTTTATTTTTTAAAGTGTTAAAAATATTTCCAGGAAAAGGGTAAAAAAGTCCGTTTCCATGCTTTTGGAGCCCTGGAGCCTTTCTTTTTCTTGCAGATCAATTTTAAAAATTGCATCAGTTTTTTTCCACTTCCTTATTCTTTCTCCACTTTGACACCATTGCAATCAGCAAAACGTTCGGTTCTTTCTCGTTTTACCTCCAATCACGGCTCTTTTGCTGTTGAAAATAACTGAGAGCAGGGCAGGGAAGCTGAGCCGCCTCTGTGTTTCTCCTCTGTTTGAACTACATGGCTCCTGATGCTCGATGTTATCAAAGCTGTGACATTTCCTCAGGCCCTTTGATGGCTCTAACCTTTAAGTAAAACTGGGTCCCCAGTTTTCTCCCATCTCCATGTTAAAGGAGGGAATAATTTCATATTAAAGGCAGATATGGTGGCAGCAGAGGTATGCAAAGAATAATAATAAAGATTGGATTTAGTCTACAACACAGTATTAGTATAAAAAAAACATTAAACTGCAAGAGCAAAGTCAAAATATTGTGAGAAAAAGTCAGAAAAGAAGTCAAAATACTACCAGAATAAAGACATAAAATTACCTGAAAAAAAGTTGTAATATTATGAGAATAAATTCGTAATATTACAAGAAAAATGTTGAACTGCTTTGTTCCTAAAATGTTCTTTATAAATACATTACCTTAATTTAGTCTTATAATTTCCAAATAAAACAAAAAGCTGTTGTCCGATGCTCGTAGTTTCCTGATGCTTATTCAGGCCAAAGCATCTCATTGTAAACGTTTTCTTTGTTTACCTTTGGCTCAAGGACAATCTGTGCTTGGCGCAGCTCTGCTGCCTTAACAATAAAAATATCTGCTCCTATTTATGTTGCTCATGTTCAGCAAAAATCAGAGCCATCAATACTTGCTGTAGAAAAAAACGAGGAGAACGTGACCATCACATTGCGGTTTCTGTGTCACCTGGAGATGTTTTGCGTGCTTTACCAGCTCTGACTCCACCCGGCTCATGTTTTTGTTTTGTTTCCGTCAACAATCTCAGGACGAGGAGAGCGTTCCTGTGGAGCTGAGGAGCCTGCAAGAGTACAAAGAGCTTTTACAGCTGAAGAGGTTGAAAAAACAGAAACTCCAGGAGATTCGAAAGGATAACGCCGGGGTGCAGCACATGGGTTACAAGGTGACGCATTTCTGCACACACAACAACTTCCTGCTGCATGCTGCACAGCGTGCCGCCACTGCCTGGCACTCTTCCACACTTTAAACACAAACCTGTGAGTTTTGTTAGGATCTTTTGTAATAAACCTACAGAAATTTTTAAGGCAGATGTTGAAAACCTCCCAAAAATATGTGCACTTGCTGCAGATCAATAGGAGAAAAAAGTCCAGATTATATTTTTATGAGACATTTTCAAGCATAAATTCTGCAGCAGGGCAGAATATTCAGCTTAGTGACAGCTGCAGTTAAAAGTAGTAGTTCTTTCTGAAACATATGTGAGGTAATGCAGAGGAAACATGCAACATCCAAAACTTTTAATCATAAATTTTGGCCTCTTGAACGCCTTTGCTTTGCGACTGATATAAAATGAACTCTTATAATGTTTATAACTTAGTTTAACTTTAAAATGTTGCTCTATGTGCAGAGTTTTTAAGGCAGAATGATATAAATAATGCAAAATGAGGAGCAGCTAACTCGATAATTAACAAAATAGGCAGACGACGACAAATACACAGCATTTGATTTGCATTGGGAGGAAAACTGGTGCATTATGCAGCCAATCACTTAATAAACTACTGATTATGGACTAATAAAAAAACTCAACAGAAAATGGCTGCTTTTCAAAATTATTTTAATTGTTAATGGGAAACAGAAGGGAGACTTTTCCACACCTATTAGAAATTAACACACTTAAAAATATCGTGTTGAATCAACTCCAGTTTACATTAAGAACTGTAAATGGAAATTTAAAGAACTGGTTCTTTATTTTTAAATAAATGTATCTTTTTATTAGTTTTATACATTGAAACAACATATTTAAGATGGAGGATTTTTGGGTTTAGATAAAGTGGGGAGAAGGAAACAAATGTTTGTGAGTGACACGTTAGGGGGAATTTTGTGAAACTGTGGTTGAATCCGCCCTGATGTTTTTGCATCTGTTTTGTCTCGTGCTGCGCAGTGCGACGTGTGCGGCATGGAGCCCATCCAGGGGGTCCGTTGGCACTGTCAGGACTGTCCTCCAGAAAACTCGGTCGATTTCTGCTCCAACTGCTCAGACTGGTGAGAACCTTTCCAGCTAAATGTACCTCAGAGAGTTCATTTTTACATCAACGAGGCAATTCAAAGTGCTTTACATCATAAAAACCCAACAATATGAAGTCATAAAAAGACAGCACATGGTCAGCAATTTAGAAAACGTTACATTTTTGTGTATCAGATTAACTACAGAGTTACAAGAAAAGCTTAAAAAACTGAGTTAAGAAAATACATCCATATTTTTGAAGAGGGACTATAAGCAAACTGAAAGGAAATTTAAAAAAGAAAATTTTTCGTCATCAAACGGTTTTGTTTCTTAAAAAGAAATTGAACAGTTGCAAATGCAAATTTCATAATAATCGGTCAAATAGTCCAAATATTTAAAGAGCACTCACCCTAAGTTTAGCATTTCATTTTCTGAAAACTATGGAAATGTGACTGCATTGTGTAAAAGGCTTAATATTGATCAATATCAATTTATTCTGTGGCATTTATATTTTTTATTTAAGTTTAACTCTTTTTTTCCCAGATAATTAGTTTTGTATTTCATATTTCTAAATTTATATTATTTCTGTTATTTTTGTTTGGTATTTTTATTTAATTTATTTCACCTTAATTTTTTATATTTCTGTATTATTTGTATTAAATGCACCACTGCTTCAAAGATCCTGCAAGAATACAACCCGTATTTGTTGTAGGTGTGAATTAGATTCATAGTATCATATTTTGTCTTCCAGCTTATTCAAGACAGAGACCCATAAACCCGACCACCACTTGGAAGCGGTCTATCAACCAGACACCTTTCTGGACAGAGACTACTGCCTGCCGCAGAGCGCAGGCTACAACTACCTGGACCCTAATTACTTCCCCGCCAACAGATGACAGAGTCCCAGGCGCCGCTAACTCCAAGTTGTCTCTCTCTCTCTCTCTCTCGCCACACGTCCTGCAGGCCACTCTGTGCATGGCTCCATCCTGTAAGCCCAAGATTACCGCTGAGCCCGGGCGGCGGGGTTAGAGTTAGACCAGACCTCGGCTCTGATGCTGGTTTCCCAGCAACGTCTCAGCCGGGTTATTCAGAAACTGTATTTTTAAAAAAACAAACAAACAAAAGCGAGAAGGCACACGACATTCCTGAGCTCCTCCCCTGACGTTTCCAGTTTTCTCCTCCATGCTGCTTTCAAACTGGAAAATCGAGTGATTGGTCTGGCGAAGCGCCACCTAGTGGAGACACTTGTGGGTTGTTTTTGTGTGCATGTGGTTTCCCCAAGAATGGAGAATACTTTAAAAAACAAAGAAAAGAAAAAAAGGTCAAAAACTTGGAGCAATTCTGCAGACCTCTGTGTTTCCCAACACAAACACACACACCTTCATCCGTTTCCTTTTGCTCTCTTCACTAAAACTAACTAGGAAACACTACAACACGAAGAGTGACTTCATTATTTTCCATTGAAGGCAGGCGAATGATGTTGAAAACCACACAAAGCTGTGTTTTATTTTTCTTTTGCCTTCTCCTCTCTCATCGTGTGCCGTTGTTGATCATGTTGAGTGTTCAAGTATATGGTGAAAAGTGAAAAGTAGCCACCGCTAGTTGCTGTGTGCCATTAAAAAAATAAAAACAGACAAAAAAGACTTTTTTTTTTTTCCTTTATCTTTTTATTTTCTTCCTCTTGCGCTTCGGGAAGATGGAGAAACCCTGAAAGCTGACCACATTTTCTCCATCACCCTGTTATCAAATCCCATCGTTAAGCCTCTAGATCTCTTAATTTCACCACCCACTTTAAAAGGTCCATTTAAAAAGATTGTATTTTTATTAATCTATTTAAAACATGAATAATTGAGGTAGTGGTTGGTGCCTCTGCGACCCACAGAGTTTTATATACATAGATTTTGTTGTGCTTGAGTAGACGCCATTTTGTATGGTTTTTTTGTCTTCTTTCCCTCACCACCTTTCCCCATGCTTCAGTATCTGTGTATAACAGTCTGTTCTTATGTAAAAAAAAATTAATAATAATGTAAAAAAAATGCTAGAGGAGAACTGTGGAAATAAAAGTATGTGGAAAATGCTTATGTCTGTGGCTTTTATTTGATCATTTGATTGACAGAAAACAACGACGGAGCCTTAGGATCATGCTAAGAAAATAAAATGAAATTACGAGAAAAAATGATGATACAAAAAGAAAGACGTAAAACTACTAGAATAAAGTTGTAAAATGAGAATAAAGTAATGTTTTATGACTTTATTACTCCATTATAATAAATATTTAATTGTTCAGTAAATATTTTAAAAATAAAACAAAAAATGCTCTGTTCTTAATTAGTTATAATATTTATTACTAACTGTGTAATGGGTAATATGAATAATATTCACACATTATTCATCTCAGACATATTGGGGAAATTAAATTTAATCCTACACACCTAATTAAAAGCCTGTAGCGATATTAAAAACTGAAGAAACCAAGGGCTATGTGGCGCAATGGATAGCGCATTGGAGTTCTAGACAAGAAGAAGTTACTCAAAGATTATGTGTTTGAGTCCCACCAGAGTCGTAGCATAATCCATTTCTCAAATACAATAAAGCGCTTACCTGTTAAAAAACTTTTTCCAAGAAATACAATTTATTCTACCAACCTAAAAAAAGTCCAGCAGTATTCTCTGGAGGTTGCAAAGGCTCTGTGGCACAATGGATAGCGCATCGGACTTCTAGACAAAAAGAAGCGATTGAAAGGTTGTGGGTTCGAGTCCCACCAGAGTCATAGCATTATGCATTTCTCATACAAAATCCTCACCTGTCAAAACATTTTAAAAATCCAATTTATTCTACAACCTAAAAAAAGTCCAGCGGTATTCTTGCACCCAAGGCTCTGTGGTGCAATGGATAGCGCATTGGACTCTAGAAAGAAAGTAATTCAAAGGTTGTGGGTTTGAGTCCCACCAGAGTCGTAGCATATTGCATTTCTCATACAAATTCCTCACCTGTTAAACATTTTCAAAAATCCAATTTATTCTACAACCTAAAAAAAGTTAGCGGTATTACTGAAGCCATAGGCTCTGTGGCGCAATGGATAGCGCATTGGACTCTAAAAGAAAGTATTCAAAGGTTGTGGGTTCGAGTCCCACCAGTCGTCACATATTGCATTTCTCATACAAACTTACCTGTCAAAACATTTTCAAAAATTTAATTTATTCTATCAACCTAAAAAAGTCCAGCGGTATTCTTACCATTGCCAAGGCTCTGTGGCGCAATGGATAGCGCATTGGACTCTAACAAGAAGTAATTCAAAGGTTGTGGGTTCGAGTCCCACCAGAGTCACATTAAGCATTTCTTATACAAACTCTTACCTGTTAAAACATTTTCAAAAAATCCAATTTATTCTACAACCTAAAAAAAAGTTAAGCGGTATTACTTGCCATTGCCAAGGCTCTGTGGCGCAATGGATAGCGCATTGGACTCCTACAGAAGAAGTGATCAAAGGTTGTGGGTTCGAGTCCCCCAGAGTCGTAGCATATGCATTTCTCTACAATTCCTTACCTGTCAAAACATTTTCAAAAAATCCAATTTATTCTATCAACCTAAAAAAAGTCCAGCGGTATTCTCTGCCAAGGCTCTGTGGCGCAACGGATAGCGCATTGGACTTCTAACAAGAAGTATTCAAAGGTTGTGGGTTCGAGTCCCACCAGAGTCGTAGCATATGCATTTCTCATACAAATTTCACCTGTTAAACATTTTAAAAATCCAATTTATTCTACAACCTAAAAAAAGTCCAGCGGTATTACTTACATTGCCAAGGCTCTGTGGCGCAATGGATAGCGCATTGGACTCTAACAGAAAGTATTCAAAGGTTGTGGGTTCGAGTCCCACCAGAGTCATAGCATTATGCATTTCTCACACAATCCTTACCTGTCAAACACATTTTCAAAAAATCCAATTTATTCTATCAACCTAAAAAAAGTTAGCGGTATTCTTACCAGCCAAGGCTCTGTGGCGCAATGGATAGCGCATTGGACTCTAACAAGATGAAGTGATTCAAAGTTTTGTGGTTCGAGTCCCACCAGAGTCATAGCATTATGCATTTCTCATACAAATTCCTCACCTGTGAAACACATTTAAAAAAATCCAATTTATTCTATCAGCCTAAAAAAAAGTCCAGCGTTATTCTCTGCAGGTATCAAAGGCTCTGTGGCACGATGGATATCGCATTGGACTTCTAGACAAGAAGAAGTAGTTCAAAGGTTGTGGGTTCGAGTCCCACCAGAGACATTCAATAATGTGTTTCTCAAATATAATAAAGTCCTTACCTGTTAAAAAACATTTTCAAGAAAATCCATTTATTCTACCAACCTAAAAAAAAGTCCAGCAGTATTCTCTGGAGGTAGCAAAGGCTCTGTGGCACAATGGATAGCGCATTGGACATCTAGACAAGAAGAAGCGATTGAAAGGTTGTGGGTTCGAGTCCCACCAGAGTCATAGCATTATGCATTTCTCTTACAAATTCCTCACCTGTCAAACACATTTTCAAAAAATCCAATTTATTCTATCAACCTAAAAAAAGTCCAGCGGTATTCTCTGCAGGAACCAAAGGCTCTGTGGCGCAACGGATAGCGCATTGGACTTCTAGACAAGAAAAAGTAATTCAAAGGTTGTGGGTTCGAGTCCTACCAGAGTCGTAGCATATTGCGTTTCTCAAATACAATAAAGTGCTTACCTGTTATAAAACATTTTCAAGAAATCCAATTTATTCTACAACCTAAAAAAAGTTAAGCGGTATTACTTACCATTGCCAAGGGCTCTGTGGCGCAATGGATAGCGCATTGGACTCCTAAACAGGATGAAGTGATTCAAAGGTTGTGGGTTCGAGTCCCACCAGAGTCATAGCATTATGCATTTCTCATACAATTCCTCACTTGTCAAACACATTTTCAAAAAAATCCAATTTATTCTATCAACCTAAAAAAAGTCCAGCGGTATTCTCTGAAGGCACGAAAGGCTATGTGGCACAATGGATAGCGCATTGGACTTCTAGACAAGAAAAAGTATTCAAAGGTTGTGGGTTCGAGTCCCACCAGTCGTAGCATATTGCGTTTCTCAAATACAATAAAGAGCTTACCTGTTATAAAACATTTTCAAGAAATCCAATTTATTCTACCAACCTAAAAAAAGTTAAGCGGTATTACTTACCATTGCCAAGGGCTCTGTGGCGCAATGGATAGCGCATTGGACTCCTAAACAGGATGAAGTAATTCAAAGGTTGTTGGTTCAAGTCCCACCAGAGTCGTAGCATTAAGCATTTCTCATACAAACTCACCTGTCAAACACATTTTCAAAAAATCCAATTTATTCTATCAACCTAAAAAAAAGTCCAGCGGTATTCTCTGCAGGTATCAAAGGCTCTGTGGCGCAATGGATAGCGCATTGACTTCTAGACAAGAAGAAGAGATTCAAAGGTTGTGGCTTCGAGTCCCCAGAGTCGTAGCATATTGCGTTTCTCAAATACAATAAAGTGCTTACCTGTTATAAACATTTTCAAGAAATCCAATTTATTCTACCAACCTAAAAAAAGTTAAGCGGTATTACTTACCATTGCCAAGGGCTCTGTGGCACAATGGATAGCGCATTGGACTCCTAAACAGATGAAGTGATTCAAAGGTTGTGGTTCGAGTCCCACCAGAGTCATAGCATTATGCATTTCTCATACAAATTCCTCACTGTTCAAACACATTTTCAAAAATCCAATTTATTCTATCAACCTAAAAAAAGTCCAGCGGTATTCTCTGCACAAAGGCTCTGTGGCGCAATGGATAGCGCATTGGACTTCTAGACAAGAAAAGTAATTCAAAGGTTGTGGGTTCGAGTCCCACCAGTCGTCACATATTGCGTTTCTCAAATACAATAAAGAGCTTACCTGTTATAAAACATTTTCAAGAAATCCAATTTATTCTACCAACCTAAAAAAAGTTAAGCGGTATTACTTACCATTGCCAAGGGCTCTGTGGCGCAATGGATAGCGCATTGGACTCCTAAACAGGATGAAGTGATTCAAAGGTTGTGGGTTCGAGTCCCACCAGAGTCATAGCATTATGCATTTCTCATACAAACTCCTCACCTGTCAACACATTTTCAAAAAATCCAATTTATTCTACCAACCTAAAAAAAGTCCAGCGGTATTCTCTGCAGGTACCAAGGCTCTGTGGCAATGGATAGCGCATTGACTTCTAGACAAGAAGAAGTAATCCAAAGGTTGTTGCTTCGAGTCCTGCCAGAGTCGTAGCATATTGCGTTTCTCAAATACAATAAAGTCCTCAACTGTTATAAAACCTTTTCAAGAAATCCAATTTATTCTACCAACCTAAAAAAAGTTAAGCGGTATTACCTACCATTGCCAAGGGATCTGTGGCGCAATGGATAGCGCATTGGACTCCTAAACAGAATGAAGTGATTCAAAGGTTGTGGGTTCGAGTCCCATCAGAGTCATAGCATTATGCATTTCTCATACAAATTCCTCACCTGTCATACACAATTTCAAAAAATCCAATTTATTCTATCAACCTAAAAAAAGTCCAGCGGTATTCTCTGCAGGTACCAAAGGCTCTGTGGCGCAATGGATAGCGCATTGGACTCCTAAACAGGATGAAGTGATTCAAAGGTTGTGGGTTCGAGTCCCACCAGAGTCGTCGCATATTGCGTTTCTCAAATACAATAAAGTGCTTACCTGTTATAAAACATTTTCAAGAAATCCAATTTATTCTACCAACCTAAAAAAAGTTAAGCGGTATTACTTCCATTGCCAAGGGCTCTGTGGCGCAATGGATAGCGCATTGGACTCCTAAACAAGATGAAGTGATTCAAAGGTTGTGGGTTCGAGTCCCACCAGAGTCGTAGCATTATGCATTTCTCAACAAATTCCTCACCTGTCAAACACATTTTCAAAAAAATCCAATTTATTCTATAAACCTAAAAAGTCCAGCGGTATTCTCTGATACCAAGGCTCTGTGGCACAATGATAGCGCATTGGACTTCTAGACAAGGAAAAGTTATTCAAAGGTTGTGGGTTCGAGTCCCACCAAGTCATAGCATTATGCATTTCTCATACAAATTCCTCACCTGTCAAACACATTTTCAAAAAAATCCAATTTATTCTATAAACCTAAAAAAGTCCAGCGGTATTCTCTGAAGGTACCAAGGCTCTGTGGCGCAATGGATAGCGAATTGGACTCCTAAACAGGATGAAGTGATTCAAAGGTTGTGGCTTCGAGTCCCACCTCAGTCATAGCATTATGCATTTCTCATACAAATTCCTCACCTGTGAAACACATTTAAAAAAAAATCCAATTTATTCTATCAACCTAAAAAAAGTCCAGCGGTATTCTCTGCAGGTACCAAAGGCTCTGTGGCATGATGGATATCACATTGGACTTCTAGACAAGAAGAAGTGGTTCAAAGGTTGTGGCTTCGAGTCCCCAGAGTCGTAGCATATTGCGTTTCTCAAATACAATAAAGTGCTTACCTGTTATAAAACATTTTCAAGAAATCCAATTTATTCTACCAACCTAAAAAAAGTTAGCGGTATTACTTCCCATTGCCAAGGCTATGTGGCGCAATGGATAGCGCATTGGACTCCTAAACAGGATGAAGTGATTCAAAGGTTGTGGGTTCGAGTCCCACCAGAGTCATAGCATTATGCATTTCTCATACAAATTCCTCACCTGTCAAACACATTTTCAAAAAATCCAATTTATTCTATAAACCTAAAAAAGTCCAGCGGTATTCTCTGAAGGTACCAAGGCTCTGTGGCACAATGAATAGCGCATTGGACTTCTAGACAAGGAAAAGTTATTGAAAGGTTGTGGGTTCGAGTCCCACCAAGTCATAGCATTATGCATTTCTCATACAAATTCCTCACCTGTCAAACACATTTTCAAAAAATCCAATTTATTCTATCAACCTAAAAAAAGTCCAGCGGTATTCTTTGCAGGTACCAATGGCTCTGTGGTGCAATGGATAGCGCATTTGACTTCTAGACAAGAAGAAGTAATTCAAAGGTTGTGGCTTCGAGTCCTGCCAGAGTCGTAGCATATTGCGTTTCTCAAATACAATAAAGTGCTTACCTGTTATAAAACATTTTCAAGAAATCCAATTTATTCTACCAACCTAAAAAAAGTTAAGCAGTATTACTTACCATTGCCAAGGGCTCTGTGGTGCAATGGATAGCGCATTGGACTCCTAAACAGGATGAAGTGATTCAAAGGTTGTGGGTTCGAGTCCCACCAGAGTCATAGCATTATGCATTTCTCATACAAATTCCTCACCTGTCAAACACATTTTCAAAAAATCCAATTTATTCTATCAACCTAAAAAAAGTCCAGCGGTATTCTATGCAGGTACCAAAGGCTCTTTGGTGCAATGGATAGCGCATTGGAATTCTAGACAAGAAGTAATTCAAAGGTTGTGGGTTCGAGTCCTACCAGAGTCGTAGCATATTGCGTTTCTCAATTACAATAAAGTGCTTACCTGTTATAAAACATTTTCAAGAAATCCAATTTATTCTACCAACCTAAAAAAAGTTAAGCAGTATTACTTACCATTGCCAAGGGCTCTGTGGCGCAATGGATAGCGCATTGGACTCCTAAACAGGATGAAGTAATTCAAAGGTTGTTGGTTCAAGTCCCACCAGAGTCGTAGCATATTGCGTTTCTCAAATACAATAAAGCGCTTACCCGTTATAAAACATTTTCAAGAAATCCAATTTATTCTACCAACCTAAAAAAAGTTAAGCGGTATTACTTCCCATTGCCAAGGGCTCTGTGGCGCAATGGATAGCGCATTGGACTCCTAAACAGGATGAAGTGATTCAAAGGTTGTGGGTTCGAGTCCCACCAGAGTCATAGCATTATGCATTTCTCATACAAATTCCTCACCTGTCAAACACATTTTCAAAAAAATCCAATTATTCTATAAACCTAAAAGAAGTCCAGCGGTATTCTCTGAAGGTACCAAGGCTCTGTGCACAATGAATAGCGCATTGGACTTCTAGACAAGGAAAAGTTATTGAAAGGTTGTGGGTTCGAGTCCCACCAAAGTCATAGCATTATGCATTTCTCATACAAATCCTCACCTGTCAAACACATTTCAAAAAAATCCAATTTATTTCTATCAACCTAAAAAAGTCCAGCGGTATTCTCTGCAGGTATCAAAGGCTCTGTGGTGCAATGGATAGCGCATTTGACTTCTAGACAAGAAGAAGTAATTCAAAGGTTGTGGCTTCGAGTCCTGCCAGAGTCGTAGCATATTGCGTTTCTCAAATACAATAAAGTGCTTACCTGTTATAAAACATTTTCAAGAAATCCAATTTATTCTACCAACCTAAAAAAAGTTAAGCGGTATTACTTACCATTGCCAAGGGCTCTGTGGCGCAATGGATAGCGCATTGGACTCCTAAACAGGATGAAGTGATTCAAAGGTTGTGGGTTCGAGTCCCACCAGAGTCATAGCATTATGCATTTCTCATACAAATTCCTCACCTGTGAAACACATTTAAAAAAATCCAATTTATTCTATCAGCCTAAAAAAAAGTCCAGCGTTATTCTCTGAAGGCACGAAAGGCTATGTGGCGCAATGGATAGCGCATTGGACTTCTAGACAAGAAAAAGTAATTCAAAGGTTGTGGGTTCGAGTCCCACCAGAGTCGTCGCATATTGCGTTTCTCAAATACAATAAAGCGCTTACCTGTTATAAAACATTTTCAAGAAATCCAATTTATTCTACCAACCTAAAAAAAAGTTAAGCGGTATTACTTACCATTGCCAAGGGCTCTGTGGCGCAATGGATAGCGCATTGGACTCCTAAACAGGATGAAGTGATTCAAAGGTTGTGGGTTCGAGTCCCACCAGAGTCATAGCATTAAGCATTTCTCATACAAACTCCTCACCTGTCAAACACATTTTCAAAAAATCCAATTTATTCTATCAACCTAAAAAAAAGTCCAGCGGTATTCTCTGCAGGTACCAAAGGCTCTGTGGTGCAATGGATAGCGCATTTGACTTCTAGACAAGAAGAAGTAATTCAAAGGTTGTGGCTTCGAGTCCTGCCAGAGTCGTAGCATATTGCGTTTCTCAAATACAATAAAGTGCTTACCTGTTATAAAACATTTTCAAGAAATCCAATTTATTCTACCAACCTAAAAAAAGTTAAGCGGTATTACTTACCATTGCCAAGGGCTCTGTGGCGCAATGGATAGCGCATTGGACTCCTAAACAGAATGAAGTGATTCAAAGGTTGTGGGTTCGAGTCCCACCAGAGTCATAGCATTATGCATTTCTCATACAAATTCCTCACCTGTCAAACACATTTTCAAAAAATCCAATTTATTCTATCAACCTAAAAAAAGTCCAGCGGTATTCTCTGCAGGTACCAAAGGCTCTGTGGCGCAATGGATAGCGCATTGGACTTCTAGACAAGGAGAAGTAATTCAAAGGTTGTTGGTTCAAGTCCCACCAGAGTCGTAGCATATTGCGTTTCTCAAATACAATAAAGCGCTTACCCGTTATAAAACATTTTCAAGAAATCCAATTTATTCTACCAACCTAAAAAAAGTTAAGCGGTATTACTTACCATTGCCAAGGGCTCTGTGGCGCAATGGATAGCGCATTGGACTTCTAGACAAGAAAAAGTAATTCAAAGGTTGTGGGTTCGAGTCCCACCAGAGTCATAGCATTATGCATTTCTCATACAAATTCCTCACCTGTCAAACACATTTTCAAAAAAATCCAATTTATTCTATAAACCTAAAAGAAGTCCAGCGGTATTCTCTGAAGGTACCAAAGGCTCTGTGGCACAATGGATAGCGCATTGGACTTCTAGACAAGGAAAAGTTATTGAAAGGTTGTGGGTTCGAGTCCCACCAGAGTCATAGCATTATGCATTTCTCATACAAATTCCTCACTTATCAAACACATTTTCAAAAAAATCCAATTTATTCTATCAACCTAAAAAAAGTCCAGCGGTATTCTTTGCAGGTACCAATGGCTCTGTGGTGCAATGGATAGCGCATTGGACTTCTAGACAAGAAAAAGTAATTCAAAGGTTGTGGGTTCGAGTCCCACCAGTTGTCGCATATTGCGTTTCTCAAATACAATAAAGAGCTTACCTGTTATAAAACATTTTCAAGAAATCTAATTTATTCTACCAAAATAAAAAAAGTTAAGAGGTATTACTTACCATTGCCAAGGGCTCTGTGGCGCAATGGATAGCGCATTGGACTCCTAAACAGGATGAAGTGATTCAAAGGTTGTGGGTTCGAGTCCCACCAGAGTCATAGCATTATGCATTTCTCATACAAATTCCTCACTTGTCAAACACATTTTCAAAAAAATCCAATTTATTCTATCAACCTAAAAAAAGTCCAGCGGTATTCTCTGAAGGCACGAAAGGCTATGTGGCGCAATGGATAGCGCATTGGACTTCTAGACAAGAAAAAGTAATTCAAAGGTTGTGGGTTCGAGTCCCACCAGTTGTCGCATATTGCGTTTCTCAAATACAATAAAGAGCTTACCTGTTATAAAACATTTTCAAGAAATCCAATTTATTCTACCAACCTAAAAAAAGTTAAGCGGTATTACTTACCATTGCCAAGGGCTCTGTGGCGCAATGGATAGCTCATTGGACTCCTAAACAGGATGAAGTGATTCAAAGTTTGTGGGTTCGAGTCCCACCAGAGTCATAGCATTAAGCATTTCTCATACAAACTCCTCACCTGTCAAACACATTTTCAAAAAATCCAATTTATTCTATCAACCTAAAAAAAAGTCCAGCGGTATTCTCTGCAGGTACCAAAGGCTCTGTGGTGCAATGGATAGCGCATTTGACTTCTAGACAAGAAGAAGTAATCCAAAGGTGTTGCTTCGAGTCCTGCCAGAGTCGTAGCATATTGCGTTTCTCAAATACAATAAAGTGCTTACCTGTTATAAAACATTTTCAAGAAATCCAATTTATTCTACCAACCTAAAAAAAGTTAAGCGGTATTACATACCATTGCCAAGGGCTCTGTGGCGCAATGGATAGCGCATTGGACTCCTAAACAGAATGGAGTGATTCAAAGGTTGGGTTCGAGTCCCACCAGAGTCATAGCATTATGCATTTCTCATACAAATTCCTCACCTGTCAAACACATTTTCAAAAAATCCAATTTATTCTATCAACCTAAAAAAAGTCCAGCGGTATTCTCTGCAGGTACCAAAGGCTCTGTGGCGCAATGGATAGCGCATTGGACTTCTAGACAAGAAAAAGTAATTCAAAGGTTGTGGGTTCGAGTCCCACCAGAGTCGTCGCATATTGCGTTTCTCAAATACAATAAAGCGCTTACCTGTTATAAAACATTTTCAAGAAATCCAATTTATTCTACCAACCTAAAAAAAGTTAAGCAGTATTACTTACCATTGCCAAGGGCTCTGTGGTGCAATGGATAGCGCATTGGACTCCTAAAGAGGATGAAATGATTCAAAGGTTGTGGGTTCGAGTCCCGCCATAGCATTATGCATTTCTCTTACAAATTCCTCACCTGTCAAACACATTTTCAAAAAATCCAATTTATTCTATCAACCTAAAAAAAGTCCAGCGGTATTCTCTGCAGGAACCAAAGGCTCTGTGGCACAATGGATAGCGCATTGGACTTCTAGACAAGGAAAAGTTATTGAAAGGTTGTGGGTTCGAGTCCCACCAGAGTCATAGCATTATGCATTTCTCATACAAATTCCTCACCTGTCAACCACATTTTCAAAAAAATCCAATTTATTCTATCAACCTAAAAAAAGTCCAGCAGTATTCTCTGAAGGTACCAAAGGCTCTGTGGCGCAATGGATAGCGCATTGGACTTCTAGACAAGGAAAAGTTATTCAGAGGTTGTGGGTTTGAGTCCCACCAGAGTCGTAGCATATTGCGTTTCTCAAATACAATAAAGCGTTTACCTGTTATAAAACATTTTCAAGAAATCCAATTTATTCTACCAACCTAAAAAAAGTTAAGCGGTATTACTTACCATTGCCAAGGGCTCTGTGGCGCAATGGATAGCGCATTGGACTCTTTAAGAGGATGAGGTGATTCAAAGGTTGTGGGTTCGAGTCCCACCAGAGTCATAGCATCATGCATTTCTCTTACAAATTCCTCACCTGTCAAACACATTTTCAAAAAATCCAATTTATTCTATCAACCTAAAAAAAGTCCAGCAGTATTCTCTGAAGGTACCAAAGGCTCTGTGGCACAATGGATAGCGCATTGGACTTCTAGACAAGGAAAAGTTATTGAAAGGTTGTGGGTTCGAGTCCCACCAGAGTCATAGCATTATGCATTTCTCATACAAACTCCTCACCTGTCAAACACATTTTCAAAAAATCCAATTTATTCTACCGACCTAAAAAAAAGTCCAGCGGTATTCTCTGCAGACACCAAAGTCTCTGGGGCGCAATGGATAGCGCATTGAACTCCTAAACAGAATGATGTGATTCAAAGGTTGTGGTTTCGAGTCCCATCAGAGTCGTAGCAAAATTTATTTCTCAAATACAATAAAATCCACACTTCGCAAATAAATTATCAAGAAACCTAAAAAAAGTCTAGCGGTATTATCTGCCATTTGTAAAGACTCTGTGATGCAATGGATTGCGCATTAGATTCCTAGACAAGAAGAAGTGATTCAAAAGTTGTGAATTCGAGTCCCACCAGAGTCGTAGCATTATGCATTTCTCATACAAAATCCTCACGCACCTTTTCAAGATGTTAATTTTATTCTACTAGCCTAAAAAATTCTAGCGGTATTCTCTGCTAACACCAAAGGCTCTGTGGTGGCATGGATGGTCCATTAGACTTCTAAACATAAGCAAGTGCTTCAAATGTTGTTGGCTTGAGTAAAATCTTTGTTTTTTAAATAATACATTTCTTGAAGACAAAAAACTTCTTCAATTTTAAAAGTCACAGGATTTTTTCAGTGATTTTGTATTGAATTATTCAAAAAACCTAAATACTGATAGGTGCAATGTCAAATGTCAAGTAAAATCACATATTGAATTACATAAAGAAGAAAGTTAGATGATGTAAATAATTACTTATTTGCCAAAAAATGTCAAAAATAAATTGCTTTACTGCATTCCTGAAGAAATATTTAAAATCTTGTTTATCCTTCTTGATGCAATCAGAGGTGTTTATAATTTATTATTCAGGCCATAAACGATGGAATCGTATGAGTAATTTCAGATTTGTGTATGTGGTATTTTGAGATTAATTAATTATTATGAGATTAATTATATAATGTTCTGCCTTTTTTATGTTGATGTTTATATTGTTTACATGTGTCTTTGTGAGTCATATTCATGTCTACTGTGAGTTGCATGGAACTTTCTGATGTTGACACCATGTGATGCTTTTTTTGCTCCACCAGATGGCGCTGCCGGATCACTGGGTGAGCGACACAACAAACAATACTCAAAAATACTCGATTTAACAAATGCACAGGCTTTATTGGAATGTCAGATTACCAGACTCAAACAAGAACCCGTATAATGAGCTTGTAAATCACACAAATGCAGTAATCCTAATACTTTTAGTACTCCGCTGCTTTTTTATTTAATGCACAAAAGGTAGTTTTAAGCTTTAACTGTTAGATCTGCATGCTTGTTACGATACAAAGCAAAGTGCTGAGCACAAGAATGAACACACGTCTCCAATCTCTGGTGGAAACGACCAGCGTGCACCCAGTGGCAGCAGGGGTCGCTGTTTTCTCTGTACAGTAATGAGCCTGGCCTGGTAGTTGGCAGCATTATACTGAAGTTGATGTGAGGAGCAGAAAGTGGGTGAAGCAAAATGAAGAGGAGGGAGCAACTGATTGCAGGTGAGGCATGCATACGACAAGAGTTCAATAAGCTGGTGGAGGCGTGACTGATGTGGAGGTTAGAGAAGAAGGTCTTCGAGCGGCTGAACATCAAGGTGTAAACCAGGAGTGTCCAAACTTTTTGTCAAATGGGTCAAAATTGTAAAGACAGATTTACTTGTAAGCTAAAAAATATGCAATTTCTAAAATAATATTATGATATTTTTACCTGCTCAACAATGAATTAAGCATACAATAACTAAAACACTACAAAAACACAAAATCTTACTAGTTTCTTATGCAAATATCTTACACTTGAAATAAGACAAAACTGTTAATAAGCAACTTTCCTGCAAAATATAGGAGCTTGTTTTAGTCAATAATTTCTTAACTATGATTATTTCACATATAACATGGGAAAAATGTCTTATAAGTGAAATATTCTGCCTGTGGAATTAGTACTTTTTCCATTGATAATAAATTCTTCACTTAAAACTAGCTATATCTCTAAAAAGTTACATGAAAGTGAGTTTTGTCTTATTTGTTTCTAGTTCTAAGATATCTGAACTAGAAACTAGACACAAAATATTTCATAATATTTTGTATTTTTGCAGTAAATAAACAAAGTATATATTTTTTAAGAATAGGGTGTGTAAATCATTGTAGTAAAACAGCATTAGGGTCAACTTTGGGATCAAACTTTAGCCATGTGTAAAATATTAAAAGCAAATTTGAAATAAAAATTATTAAATAAAATTAAAGAGAATACAGAAAGCGTGGTAATAAAAAGATGAATACTTTGTATTGCATCAAACATTTTCCATACAAGAAGATTTTAACTTGTTTGTAATAATTTTGCCCTGGTTTAAAACAAAACGTCTCCATCTGCATCAAAACTTGTGTAATTTTCGAATTGTGATTGGGGGCCACACAAAATCAGTCCTGGACAATGGACACCCCTGGTGTAAACGGTGGAAATCAGAAGGTGGCAGACGACTCTATGGCTTGGCAGAGCTGGACAAAAACCTCAGGTGGCGACCGCTCAGCGTCAATCTGCAGACAGAGACACACAAAAGACTTTCAGAAACTATTTAGCATTTCTACAGAGCACTCATGGCCCAGCCTGGACTAGAAGCTGTTTATTTTTTATTTGTTTGTTTTATCTTGCAGTCGCCAACTTTCTGTAATTCCTATATGGCCTACGGAAAAATGCAAAAGAAAGAAAGACATGAGAAATTTGGTGTGTTTGCTTCAACATTTCTGAATTAAATAATTAGGTAATTAGCAGGTGTATCAGACCAGGGACACATCAGACTACTTAAAATATTTCTCCTAAAAGAGCCAGCTGAGTTTATTTTGTATTAATTTTATGCAATAGGGACTCCCACACCTTTTGTATCAGTCTCTTCTGTCTCACGCACTTTTTTTCAGCCATAAAACTGTTTGATGTACTTCGACTAAAATGGGCTTTTCTACATTTCCCACATGTTGTTTCAGTTTCTAATGTGCATAAAATGCTGCCAACATCCCACAAATGTAAAAAAATAACAATTCTGAAGTTGTGGTGCTTAAATTAAATAAAAAACGCAATACGAATCACACCTGACTAAGTTTGTGCAAGATAAATCAATAAAATCACACTCCAGCTACTTCCTGTGGTTTTCTTCTGTTGTATGATTAAAAAGAGTCAAACTGTGTCATCATTACTGGTTTATTGAGGGTCACCTGGACTAATTGAGCCTGACGCTCTTTCATAATATCATCACAGGTGGCCATTTGTGGTTTTTAACCAGGCATAACATTAACGCCACATCTTCTTCTTCGTGGTTTACGCCAGCGTCAACATCCGGTTGTTGATCATGTCACTCGAGTGACACGAACACTTTCTACCATAAGGAGTCTTTTTTTAAAATTGCCAATTCTATTTTCAAAACGTGAAATTGCGTAATTATATGTTTATTCTGCCTTTTACGTGTTAAACTGGATCCCCCTGCTGGATGTTTTGATACATCGTTTGGTTACGGTGAAAAAAGAAAACAGAGATCCAAGATGGCGGAACGTCATACCGAAGAGTTCCTAAATTAAACTGACATCACCTTGATACGTTTTGGACGGGATTTGTTCGTAAGTATCGGTTAGCTTGTAGTAAAGATGGCTAGTTTGCAATGTTAGCTGTACTATGCCTGGTATAGTATTAGTGACTTAGGTAGTACTATACCTGGTATAATATTAGCTAAACATGGTTAGTTTGCTATGTTTAGCTAATGCTATGCCTGGTATAGTATTAGCTAAACATGGCTAGTTTGCTATGTTAGCTAATGCTATGCCTGGTATAGTATTAGTGACTTAGGTAGTACTATACCTGGTATAATATTAGCTAAACATGGTTAGTTTGCTATGTTTAGCTAATGCTATGCCTGGTATAGTATTAGCTAAACATGGCTAGTTTGCTATGTTAGCTAATGCTATGCCTGGCATAGTATTAGTGACTTACGTAGTACTATACCTGGTATAATATTAGCTAAACATGGCTAGTTTGCAATGTTAGCTAATGCTATGCCTGGTATAGTATTAGCTAAACATGGCTAGTTTGCTATGTTAGCTAATGCTATGCCTGGTATAGTATTAGTGACTTAGGTAATACTATACCTGGTATAATATTAGCTAAACATGGCTAGTTTGCTATGTTAGCTAATGCTATGCCTGGTATACTATTAGCTAACATTTTCTATGGTCATAGTGAAGGCAGTGGTCAGACGCCATTTCCTCGACAGCCCAGCTCAACAATCAATATTGCTACTATTTACATAATTAATTACTTTCTGTTAGTAATTAATGTTTTATTTGAAAAGTAACATAAGTCTTTATTTGTGTATTTATATTGAATTACAAACCCGGTTAGCCTCAGTACCTGTCTTGGCATTTAAGCACACACACACACACACACACACACACACACACACACACACACACACACACACACACACACACACACACACACACGCATGCATACAGCTTATGTGGCATTTCAAACGTTCAGACAGCATATTTTTAAAGAAGCGGTCATCTCCAAACAGAAGGTCTGTGGTTTTTGACTTGCCCTCGTGTTAGTGGGAACATCAGTGAGGTGTGTGAAGCCCACAGTGAGTCAGACGTTGCCTTTAAGGTCACCGCTGACCTTTTCAAGCAGCAATAATATTCCCAATTATCCGGCTGTGGTGTTGAGATGATAGAAAGCTGCTTACAGTTTATAGACTGGAGAAGAAGATTGGATGCCTCTGCTGTTGTAATTATTTCTCTTTACTCTTTAAATAAAAAAAGTTGGGTTTTGAAGTTGAAATAAATAACTTTAGGTGAAAAGAGTCAACTGTTATTTTTACTATTAACCAGCGACTGGCAAAACCTCTGACAACACAAAAATTCAGATTTCCCTGAGGTTTGCAATTAATAAATGCATCATTCAATCATTTATTATCCAAGGAAATGCTCTACTTTCACAAACTAATTCATGAACTCACTACCGTAAGTCCTTTGGATTTATGGCCAATTCTGTAGTAAAATTGTTCCAATTACTTTCAAACGTTCAAAGGAGGGGGAAATACAAAATGCAAAGAGGTGTTCACTGCAAAAACACAAAATCTTTCCAAATATTTTGTATTTAGTTTCTAGAGCAATTATCTAGACATAACTAACTTCCAGCTAACCTTACAGGTAAATTAAGCTTGTTTTAAGTCAATAATTCATTAAAATTGATGAAAAACTTCTGGTTCCACTGGAAGATTATTTAACTCATGTAAATAGTAGTTTAGAATTATTGACTTAAAACAAGTTGAGAAGTTACTTTGAAGGTAGTTTTTTCTTAAGATATTTGCACCAGAAACTAGACAGATTTGGTGTTTTTGAGTTTAGAGTTGAGTGGATTGACAGTGGATCAGTTGGGAATTGAACCCTCGCCCTGTCTTACGGTGTGCAGCAGCATTTTGCGTTCATAGTGAGCGATAACGGCCTGGGCGTCGCTGCAGAAGCTCTCGGCTCTCCTCTGCATGGCGTTCTCTGAGGACGAGGAGGATCTGCTGCGGCTCTGGACCCTGCTGGTCATCGTCTCTGGAGAACAGCTCAGCAGAACCACGGCACTCGGTTCCCCCATCTGATCCCACAGAGGAGAAAACGTCTCACTGGATCCGTATGTGACAAATCTCGACTCTGAACATCTCATTTCTTTCTGTTTGCCTCATTTCTTCTTGCAAATATCACCTTTAACACCTATTTATGGCTCAGACTGTGCTGCATGACTGACTCATTCGCTTCCCTCCTCTTTGGATGAACTTTTCTGACTTTTGCATCTTTTATTCATGTTTCTGACCAGATGTGGGGTCGGTGTCGGTGCGCTGCCTTGCCTTGGCTTCGTACTCCTCCGCCTGCTTCAGGTCTCTAGGGAAGCCGCTCACCACCAGGCCCTTTCCCTGTCGGACCGCAGACGCCACGGCGTCACACAGCAGGTCCAGCAGCGTCTCCTACAGATTCAAAACAAATAATTCAACAAGTTATGAATTAAAGGTGACCTACGTTTTGGGGAGTTTGCACAAAATTATTTTTAGATCATGAGATTTTATTGTCTGGTCAGTTCTTAGGAGTTTGAGCTTCTTTCAGAATGAGCTACTTTTGGGCCTTTTGTCACTTTAAGTTCCTCCAACTCAACATTGACATTTGCATTTGAGAATGGCTGGAAACAGATAAACTATTGTACAACCTTACATCTTTGAAGAGCAGAAGTAGGGCCTCCTGCACAATCAACAAGAATGTAGCAAGTGGTTTCTGGATGGTAAGTCAAAAACAGAACTCTTGTCTTTTCTAGCAGCCGTTGTGCAGCGGATACAGCGGGAAAACCAGCTGACCAAACGTGCTGGAACTCTGCTTGGGTTGCTAGGTAACGGGCTTGGGCTCGGCTAGGGTTGCTAGGTAACTGTGCAAAGCCCGTCGAATGCGACTCAGAATCGGCAGGTTTTTGAAATGGTTCATTTTCCAGACACCAGAAAATATGAACTATTGCCAAATAAAGTTGTATGTGTCTGTTTTTAGAAGCAGTAGATACACAAATGGAAGTAAGAATATAATAGGTCTCTTTAAAACTTGATGCATGACTAAAAAACAAATTATTACAAAACTGCCAAGGATTCACATCCTTATGTTTAATTCCATAGTTTGATTTTTTTTTAAATAAAAGAATTTATTTTAACATAATTACTGAATATTATCTTATCATTTATATTGTGGTGATCCATTTGTTTGAGTTTTAGCTTTCAATTGTGTTCTTTTTTTAATTTCTTGTTTTTCCTCATTAGGCTTCTCTGTTAGTGTTATCTTCTCTGCTAATTGTGTTTCAGGTTTAGCTCCATTTTCTCTTTTCTGCTTATCTTTCGCCTTCCATTTCAGCCGCTTTCTACTCAGACGTTTTCCATCTCCTGATTTTCTTCTGCCTGTTCTCCCCCCAGATGTTTTTACTTGCTTCTGATTAGCTCATCTTCTCCACTTTTCAGTATATGTATTGCTCCCTGGTTTCATTGTTCTCTACTGGCTCCTGCAGTTTCTTTATCTGTAAATATTATTTTCTTCGCCCCTTTAAATGATATACTTTGACAGTTTTCAGTTCGTGTGTGCATTTTGGTCTGACAATGTGACCTAAAAAAAGTTTGGAAACTGCACAACTTTTCTTTAAGGCAAATGTCTGAGTTGCTTTTTGAGACCTACAGTAATTTAGTTCTTTTCTGCATTACTATATTAAATATTACATGTTTAATTCATTATTAACTGTGAGGAAAATGATGTTACTTTCAACTGGGTGAGTTTTGTAATCCAATGTGATAATTTTTATACGCCTGACATCGAGTTCAACCACCTGACAGAGGAAGCTGATTTATCTTGTTTGCTTCTGGGATTCATGATGCATTTAAGTTATGTGGGAAATGAGAACTTGGACCTGGGTTTGACATTAGACCCGAGGTAACAGCATTTTAGTTAAGAAGCAAGAAATTCAACATAGATACTGTTCGGATTACCTCTTACAAACATAATTTCAAGCTTTTCTTTCTTTAAGCAAGACTTTTAATTTTCAATTTAAAATTCCAGGCGTTACAAATAACATTAATATTAGATGCATTCTTACTTAAGTTTCTTGTAAAATACACATGCTCCCCGACTATCCCAGGATTTCCCAGGAAATCCGACTTTGTAGGGTGATTCAGTTCACCTTTTTCCCCAACAAAATTAGAATTTCCCAGTTCTGAGTACAACTGGAGAACTGGGATACTTTCTGCACTGGTGGAAGCTGATCACTGACTTTATGGGGAACGTTTGATGTTCCTCAGAAAGAACAGTCTCTCCTGGGCTTTTTAAATGACTCATAAAGTGTTTCAGTTTGAGGTCGATTTATTAGTGACAGCTGAATTTTGGGACTCTTTCCACCTTCTCTCCTTTAAAGGGGACCTATCATGCAAAATTCACATTTTGTAGGTTTTTATATTTCCATTTGAGTCAACTGCTTCTAAAAACATCCCAGGTGCTTATAAATCACACATGGATGAGTTCTGGCAATAAGTTAATGTTTTTGGTGTTTGGAAAATGAGCCTTTTTAAAACCTCTGTTGTTGCTCGGTAACTGCATTGTTACCTAGCAACCCACGCTGAGTTCCAGCACGTTTGATTGGCTGATTTTACTTCTATACTTTGTACAATGACTGCTGGAAAAAACACAAGTGTTTTTGTTACTGACTTACTATCCACAAACCACTTGCTGCATTCTTGTTGGTTGTGCAGGAGGCTCCACTTCTGCTTTTCAAAGATGTATATTTGTATAACTGGGCATCTGTTTGCAGGTATTTTCAGGTGCGAGTGTAAACGATGAGTGGGGCTCATTCTGAAATGATCTGAAAATAGGCAAAGCTGAAAAGACTAAAAGCTCATTGAGAATTATTTTGTGCTAAAAATCTAATAAGCATGTTTTGTTTCGCCCATAGACATATGCTAACTTGTTCAAGGAAGCACAATAAATTACCTTTAATGCACCGACCATTGTTGTGATTCCTGTTGCTCTGTTGTTACTATTTATGCAGGTAAAAATGGAAAGTACTGTAAACTTCCTGAATGATATTCATTAAGAAATGTAGCTTTATATATCTTGTAATCAGCAGAAAGTTTATGCAGTTTTAAGGTTTATCTCACTGAGGCATAAAAAAACCCTGTTAACTTCTGCAGAGAGAGATTTCTACATTCTGCTTTAAAAGCTTGAGAGGAGCACTTTGGTAATTCCACTGTGGGATTATTAATCCTCCTCTTAAATCCCAGTCTTCCTCTGTTCTCTCTCTGTGCCTATATATTAAAAAAAGCATAGTGCAGTACTCATGTGGGAAAACACGGGACGCAGGCCTAATGTGCGGTAAGAGGCTTAAATGTGAGCCGAGCTCGAAAGCGTTCTGGATTTTCCTGCTGGCCGATAAAAGTCGAAGCAAATCTGTGTGTGGGAGTTTTTATGCAGCCTGTAACTCAGTCCAAACTTTATGAAATGAAGACATAAAGAATTATTTTATGCACATGCAGTTATATTTTATTGCTTACTAATTATATTTTTTTATATTTATCATAAACTGGCCATTATATTTAGAAAATTGTTCATTTAGTACTTCTATGAAAAATGATCAATGTGGAGGGACTTCAGAAAATTTTGCCTCATCTTCAATCCCTTTTTTAATTTGTTTTCAGCTGCATCTCATTAAATAAGAATAACATTAGTAAAGTTAATCAGGTCCTGGAAGGAGGTCAGTCATGATGATCCTCTCCTGTTCGACCAGTTTGGATGAGCCAAACCACATGGCTTTTTCATTCACCATATCATTACGCAGTTTAACATTTTGAAAATAAATAATCTTAATGCAAACTCGCCAATTAAAACATCTTTTTCAATTAAAAAGTTTTGATGGCTGGAAATTGGTTTATTTAGCAAAACTGTAATGGAAATACTTTCTTTTTCTTTTTTTTTATCAACAACCGGAAGAAGAGAAGAAGTAGATGGAGGGTCATAATTTTTAATTACTTTTCTTGCAGGCTTGTTCACATTTTCATTGCGATCATTATTTAATGGAAACGCAGCAATTGCAAAACTTGTTCTTAGATGAATAGTGACAGCATTTTACACATGTGTAATAGAACGGACACTAGACAGAAGGATTAACGGCTCTGTAGAAGATGAGCAAAAGGCAAACCTCAATTTTATATCAATTTGCTGCATTTACAAGGAAACATTAGCTGCTCCATTTCAACACTGTTGATATTCTGCAACTTTGTGATTGCATTTCTTATTTTACTAAATAAGAAATGAAACAAAAATTGCATGTGAATAAGCTCGCTCACACATTAAGTAATTAAAAACCTGTGAGAGTTCTGGTGGAGCCGTTTGCAGTGTGAATAAAAACAAAACCACACCATCATCCTCCTACCACTTCCTGTTGTCTTCATTGTTTTCACCAGTACTAACATCTGATTGTTTGTCATGTGACTTAAAAAAAGTGTTTCCATTTCAGTTTTTCAATATATACCCATTTTGATAAAGCTTGAAAAACCGCCTCTTACTAGCACAGAAACTTTTTATCTGAAAACAGTTTTTTTTTCTCTGAAATTGGCAAGAATTTTTTTTCTGAATTTCAATTTGTGCAATTCTGTTTAATGGAAATGCAGCTAGTGCGAGGTGTATTATCACTAGTGAATCCTGAAGCAGGGAATGCTCCTCATATCAGATTGTCGTGCCTCATTGGCTTCAACTGTGCATGAAAAGATGGAAATACAAAATCAGAAACTCAGGACTTTGTTAGACGGAGCTGGAGGAGTGTGGAGACGTGGTGGTGGACAGAAAATGCCAGGGGAGGCAGTTTGGATTTGAAAGCTGTTGCTGTGATTGGACCAAAGCAGCTCTCACTGGGAGAGAAATTGTCATCCGTCGACCGCAAATACAAAACAAATCCATCAGACAGAGGCAGGGAACATCACAAGTGGAGGAATCAATAGTTTTCTACATTTGGAGGATGAAAGGACACTCTGGAGTCCTGGATGAAGAAAACAGCTTGTTTTTTCTTTTTTTTAATGAAGAAACAAACTAAATGTGAACTGTTGTGGTAGCTTAAATCCTGATTCACTTCTATTCATGTTAAAATCAAACTGGTTTATGAGCAGGTCTTAATTATTGTCCTCCTTTTCCAACCCACAATAAACAATAAACTGAGCCAATCAACATCCAATCACCCTCCTGGGGGGAAACATTTTAAACCTACTGGGATTTTTAAATGGCTCAAGATATTTCTGCTTTTATGAAATGTCTTCCTTTGTTCTAATCAGACCAATGCTTTCCATCATAACAGCAAATTGTCACAATGTTGTCCTTAATGTGGTTTAGGTCCTTTGGCGTTGATAGAAGGTTTTGTTTCTATTGGAGTAGCAGCATCAAATAAAGTGGCTCAAAAAGGAAGCCACTAAGAAGCTTAGCTCTCATCTGGTGATTTTGGAACCTTTGGATTTGATCCTGCAAAGAAGAATGCAGTGATTCAAGAAATGTGTCTTCAGTCAGAGGCTTCTTTAGATGTGCTGCGACCGTCCCAGGAATTCTCCAAGCAACAAGGCAAAATCTAATCGCCATTTGAGATTTATGATATCATTATTAGGGAATGGTACGATGGTGTATTAGGGCTGTTGTAGTAAAAAAAAAAAAAAAATTCCAAAACACAACCCTTCAAATTCTGAGATTAATCTTAGAAACTTCATTGACAAAAATGAAATGAAGATAAAAATCTGTGATAAAGAACTCAGAATTTTTCAGATTAATTTAAAAATTAATAGAGTTTAAGTTGAATTTTAAAACTCAGAATTTTCAAAAGTCCAAATTTCCTACTTTACAAACTCGGAAAATTTCCACTTTTTTTGTAGAAAAATCTGAGATTTCAGCTGTTTTGGTAGAAATTTACTTCTTTTTTCTATCTGCAGTGTCTCTAAAACGCTGGCTGGGACTTTAAGATGTTCATTTGATTAATATATTAATTATATAGATGGATCTAAATGCGTTAATTTATGATGCAATTACTCGCTTTTAAAAGCGAGCCGGAGCCTTCTGCGTTGCATTTCCGGTACGGCTCCCAGCTCTGACGCACAAGCTACATCCGGATGCAACCACGATGGAGGACAAAGCTGCTTCTCTTGACCCACTCAGGTAAATTTTTTGCTTTTAAAAACATTTTGGATGAGATGCTGAAAAAGATTACTGTTGTGTACAAATTGTGCTAAAAAGAGTTAGCTTATTAGTGAAGCTAGTCAAACCTAAATTAGCATCTTAATGCTAAGCAAGTAGCAGTTAACGGATGCTGCTAATGGCCACATTTCTGCAGCAGCTCATTGAAACACTTGAAAGGTTGAGGGGTATAACAACACTTAAAGAAAATATGCTGTTTGAATAACCTGAAAAACAGATTAAAAACATTAAATATTCTTTTTGTTGAGCTCATGTATGTTTATTCAATAATTTAGCAGCAAAACATATGTGCACAGTGTATCAGTTTGGATGTAAGATTTAGTGCACAATAACGCTGTGCACCGTAGTAGATTACTTGGAAGACGGGAAAAGTGAAGGAAAAATGGCTGCTTCTAAAACTGAAGCTGCAGAACCTCACAGATGGTTTCAGTTCCTGGGATTAATGTTATGTAACACTTGGCCACTTTGAATCTCAACAAGGCAGTTTGAAGTGCTTTACACCCGAGTAAAAACAAAAATCCAAAGCCTTAGACCAGGAGTTCCCAAAGTGTGGGGCGTGTGCCCTAGGAGAAGCGCGGGAAGCGCTATGGATGAATGGAAAAAGGAGGAAAAGAAGAAAATCTTTGGGAACTACTCTCCCAAACAGAGTTGGGTGATAATTACCCAAATAAATCTTTTTGAAAAAAGAAAAAAAACTTATGGGAGTATTTTACTATACTTTACTTTTACTTTACTAATTTTATTATAAAGTATCTTACTTGAGTAAAATTTCTGGATTCACCAGACACAGACACAAACCTGTGTGTGAAACGTTTGTTGAAATTTCCTAAGTTTTTTCTTTTTTTTTTTTTTATGGAAAGAAAGTGATTTGGAAACCGGTTTTTGTTATTTACGTAAATTATTGTCATTTTGGTCCATAAAATACCAAAATTTCCTCTTAACTTTATATTTTGGTCCAGCTAATGTAATTTTTAAATATTAAACGATTGATAATTTGATCAAATGGCGTTTCTGTTATTCGTTTCAAAAGCAACTCCAAACAGGTGGGTTTTTAGTCTATGTTTAAAGGAACTCAGTGTTTCAGCTGTTCTGCAGTTTTCTGGAAGTTTGTCCACTTTCATTGATTGCCTTATCGGATTCCAGGAACAGAAACAGTTGATTTTGGATTGGAGTTTATCTTATCATGTCACATGTGGTTTCACAGCATGTGTCTCCAGTAAACACACATACATCCGTGCTAGCTCCGTCTGCTACGCTACACAGCCCATCTATCTCTGGATAAGCCAGTTTAAGCCGTCTTGAGCGTGTAATGTTCCCCCATCAGTCCTCCCTCCCACGTTTCCGAAATTAATCTTTGGCAGGAAAACATGCAATCAGCCAGGAGAGAAATCTTTTAATCAATAATCTTATCTCATAGCTTTATGCCTTAATAATCTTTCGTGTTTTGGTTTGTTGATTCCGTTCTTCGTTCATCCGTCTGTTTTAGTGCAACATGTTTGAGCTTTGATTCTTCTGTTTAGTCGGTGAATCACTTGCTCTCATATCTGCTCCAGATGTGCCGTTTGCTGATCTAATCCTCAGATGACATTTCTATGAAATCACAACATTTTTTCAAGTTTTCTTTTCTCTAAAAATGTTCTGTTAGCTGAATTGGCTTTTGTTTTGCACAATTTGTAGAATCCGGCTCGATTAAAAGAAGTGCCTTTCGGTTTTAATGTTTTTTCTTTTTTTATGTAAAATTTTTATTTTTAAAAGGTTTAAATGGTTGCTGTATTACTAATGGTTGCAGTTGCAGATGTTTTAATCCAGACAAAACCCTAAAGATAAACGACAAAAATTAGCTTAATGTTAGCCTAATCTCACTCCTATCAATTAAAATGTTTAATTGCGTTAATTGCAGGATTTGTAGTTAATTACATTTTAATCAAAAGCCATATATAAGCAAAATAGGTGACATTTTCAGTCAAAAACAGATGTTTGTTGTTTTTGATCTGTTGTTCAGGTTATTTCTGGATCAGATTGGTGCAAAGTGCTTTTCTACTCATTCAGCTTTGAAGTGTTTCAGGAAACGATGATCATTCATGGAAGTTCTTTGAAAAAATATTTCTTCAGAAATGTGGTGAATGGTTCAAAATGTAAGTGCAATCGTTAAAATCGATAAATCGGGATTTTAATCGGCGTTTTTCGCCATATGTGGAGGAAAAATGTTAAGTATTGATGTGCTTGATGTGACGACATGATGTGTATTTTCTGTTTGTTCAGGTTGAATATTGAACTAAACTAAAATTAAATAGGCTTACTATTGATTATGTCATTGGTATTATTTAAAAAACTGACAATTAAAAATGCACTAAAAAAACAAAATGAGTGATCCAACTTAAAAAAAATTAATTTTAACATTAATAGTTTGAGAAAATTTAAATTGATTACATTTAAAAAAGAAATTTAAAGTCAGAGCTACATTCTTATTTGTTTATTTTCAGATAATGACTGTTTTGTTATTGATTTATACATAATAAACAATGTAAAATATATCCCTACTTCTGACTCAGATATGGTCTGAGTTTATTTTGCTAAATCTAAAGTTTGTTTCATCTTAATTTGTAAGTTTTAAAAAAAATTTCCTGGTGATTCTCTTTTTTTATCTGATTATTTTGTAGATCAATACTTCTGTTTACTAGTCCATAACAATTGTTTTGCATATTGGGTTCATTACAGATTGGAAAAACAAGGAGTCAATTTTCACCCAAAAACTCAGAAGTTTTGAGATTGAGAAATTTTCTCAAAACATTTTTCTGAAATTTCTGTTTGAAGACAAAAATGTGTCAGAAAGAAACGTACATTTCTGAGATCTAAAAAAAAAGCATATATATATTAGCAAATTTTTGCCTTCCAAGTTTTTTCTAGAAAATTCAAGAGATTTCAAAATTTTAGTTTTCTCGCAATTTTGACTTTTGGAGCTCAAAAATTTATTTTTTTCTGGAAAAGTTTTTATTGAAACTTAATTTTCTTATTTTTCAACAGTAGTGTTGATACGCCGACATGGCGTATCTTTCTTGGTTTAGAAAAAAAAAACTCTGGGGAGGTTAAATGCACACCACACTTTTCAGATTCTTTAAAAATATTTCATAGCTTCCTTCTATATTATTACTCATGTTAGTCTGTCACATTAAATCTCAATGCTCAAAGTTAAAGACTAACCTCTGCAAGTTTCTCTCCTCTCTCCAGAACGTCCTGTAGGTGGCGCCCTCTTTCGCTGTGACTCTGCATCTCGCTACACAACAGGTCGCCCAGGGTGACGCGGCGCAGGCCGAACCGCTCCTCCAGCCGTTCGCACTGCAGAGCCTTCCCCGAACCCGGCCCGCCTGAGACACAGACGGAGATCAGAACTTATCGTCAGCAGAACGACCCGCAGCGCAGACAGGATGAAGTGGAGGAAATTGAAAGGTGAGAGAAGAGCGTGGAGGAGGCAGGAAGAGGATGGTGAGTGAGTAAGTGAGTAAGTGAGTGAGTGAGTGAGTGAGTGAGGGAGGGAGGGAGGTTGGTGTGTGGGAACTCGCTTTTAATTTAGGAGTGAAAACACAGAGGGGAAAACGATACGGAAGCAACATAATGGAGAAAATCAAATAATTATCAGTATGTCTAACAAAACATATCTGCCTAAAATGGCAAAATGATCTACTTTACTCACCTAAAGTCGAATTAACTTGTATGTTTGCAATGAACACAAGTTGTTTAAACCCAGAGTTACATTTACTCAGTTAATTTTTTTGGCAAAAATGTACTTTAAGAAGTATTTTTTCTGCGTTCTAGTTGCTTTTACTTGAGTAATTATGAAGCATCAATACTCATAGCTGAGTAAAATGTCTGGATTCTTAACCTGGTGAATGAAAATCTAACATGTTTTAATCAAAAATTCACCAGACGCACACATGTGGTTTTTATTTACGTTTCGTAAGGATTTTTTAATAAAGGAAACTGATTTGGAAAAATTTCAGCTCTCTGATCTTATTTTGTAATTATTTATATAAATTATTTAAATTGTGATATTTGAAATACCAACATTTCCGCTTAACTTTGTATTTCAGTCTAATTATGTAATTTTTGAATATTTAATAACTGATATTTGTGATCAGTTACTCAGTAACTGATTGAGTAAAGTCCATTTTCCACACCGATACTCTCCAGCACTGACCTCCAAATCCAAAATGGCTGCCTTGCAAATTATAAGGTGTTGAAAGCTGCTGTAAAAAAAGTTATTCTCACTTGCTTTAATTCCCATTGATTCATGGTTTGCAACATTATTATGAATATTATATAGCCTGCATGTCTTGAATGATCAGAAGCCTTCAGTTTGCAGCTGGTCAGATGTGGCATATTTTACATTTTACTATCTTATCTGCTAGTTTTGAAAACATCTTTCCCGCCTAGCTGGATCTCTCCGTCCTCAGAGTGCCTGAATTTAGATGCAGCTCATATTTCACAAATTATAAAACCAGGGAGGAAAACAAAGACGGCGACATTTACATACAGATGCGCACAATAAAGCCGCTTCCATTTTTTAATTGCTTTGTAGTTTGGGTTTAAGGTCAGAGGAAATCCCTCCAGGCTGATTTTAACGCTTGCAGGTGAAATGCAGAAACTGGGTGATTTATCAGAAGCAGCCTGGAACCAAGTAATAAAAGCCGGTTCTTTTATATTCATCGATATCCTCCTGACTGTAACTGCTCTCTGTTTGCATGCAGAATCGAAACGTCCTCGTCTCCGTTTCCTCAGAGCGACGTGAGCTCGACTCAGAGGCCCAATGGAAACAAGAGATTACAGATTCATCCAGCAGGATGCATTTAGATTGGATAAAAGCAATTAAGTTATATTCTTTATACAATGTTGAGCACCCAGAGGCAATGGACTGGTTACAGCTTAAAAAGAAATTATTTTCCAACTTGAATCTCTTTTTAAAAAGGAAACAGAAGTACATATTTTTAAGCTTTAATTTCAATCACGATTGTGAGTTAATTGTGGAAAAAAAACTTCAGAAAAAAAGGGAAGTAAGTTCAAAATAAAATGTACGTAAGTTTTTTTCCGATTTGTTGAATCTACTTTCTCTCAGATTTGATGAACTGAAACATCCCAGGATGTGTGTGAACATGGCACACAAAGCGACAGGAAATAAATGAGAGGAGAAGGAGAGTCATGTTACACGAGGCGAGGCAAGGAAGGAGGAAAAAGTAAGAAAAATCACAGATCTAATTCAGTTTCCTGATTCTGCTCTGTTGCGTAATAATTTACTTCATGTTTTAGTGGCTAATATTTAAGCCTAAATGATAAATGGGTAACAGCAGAGAAGGCTTGTTGGGATTATTGCCTCCACTAATTAAGATGCCTCAGTTGTTCACACCAGGGCTGATCATTGGCAGTAAATACTCTCTTGCACGCTCTGGCTTGGATCATCTCCATTTCAGAATCTATTACAACTAAAAACAAACAGGGGCTAAATTATAGTTAATTTAAAATAAAGTTTGTGATGCTTTTGTTTCTACATATCAGTGTTTTTGTTACTGACATCTAAAGACCTTATGTTTTCTGAATCTTAATTCATTTTCAGGAAAATCTTAATTTTGCCTAAAAATGGTGAATTTGCTCTTTTCTTCTGATTTTTATGTTTCATACAAAAATTTAAAAAACAAAATATTGAATGTTAAAATGTTTACATTTTTGACAAAAACACTAATATATATAAAGTGTAGTTTTTTTTCAGAAATGTTGTGTCTTGATGTTCAAGAAGATTGAAATAAAATAAACTCAGTTTTCTGTATTTAGTCAGGGAACGCTGGACTTTGACTATACCTTTGGACCAACTCCATTATTTTCTGTTGTGGCTCTTCAGTGTGGATGTACGACTGAGTGAAGATGTAAAATTAGTTTTTTGCTTTAAACGGTTTGCGAACAGAAGCACAAATAGTTTAAACCAACAATAAAAATACTTTTTGTTCTCTCCCAGCTGACACGTTGCACAATACTGCAGTATATTTTAAATTAAATGCTTACGGGATACCATGTGATACATTTTTTCTTTTCTTGTTGTAGTTTTCCAACAACTTGCAGGATTTAATTTCATTATATGTCCTGCGTTGGTTCGGAGAAAACCAAAAACATTCACCATTAACTTTTAGATTTTTAATTTACCCCAAATCTATTGATCTTATTTAACTTGTGAGCAATTTTTGTTTAAAAGAAATTGAATCAGTTGCTGCAAGGTCAGTTTTACAATATTCAGAACCTAAATCGGTCCATCTTCTATTTTAAATTTACTTTTACCAAACTTTCCACTCAACATACTTGTTCAAAGTGTAAAATGTCACTCCAGTGCTGGTTTGTTTATGCCACAGTTTGTGATTTTAATCGTTTTTGATAAACCTGCAATAGGATTAAACAATTTTAACTTCTTACATTTATAATCTGTGGTTGATTCATCAATGAATCCTGACGAGATCCAAGTATTTCTGTGGGAAACAGGACTGATGACACAGAGGATTCTGCTTGCAAACTGCATCTTTTCACATGACAAAATATTTCCCAGCAGTGGGGATTTCACTCCTTCAAAGTAAAGCAATTAAGGGAATAAAATGGTAATTTCTTTGCAGACAGAGGAGACTATAATGAGAGGAATGAAAGCAAGAGAAGCAGACAGGATAAGAGACGGAAACAAAGAGAAATTTACATAAAATCCTTATTTCACATTAGTATTTTCTGAAAACCCATAATCTCTCCTTTTACTATATAAAAAACTTTTCCATCAGCTTTAGTGGAAATACGTGAGCAAAATTTAAATGGAAGAAAACTTTATGCACAACTTTTAATGAAAATAGCTCTTTTTTTGTTGTTGTTTTCTTGGCGCTACTGGTTTTTTATTGTTGGAGAGGAAAGTCTAAAAAAATAAAACCGGAACGGCGAAGTTTCTGAAAACACTCGACTGCTGCTGCACAATTCAAATAACGCTGTGGTTTATTTATTAAATCACATCTCAGGGTAACGAAGCGCTTTCATGTGGATCTAAAGAGTCATTCTGATTGGTCTATCGGTTTCATCTCTGTTCAAAGGCTTATTAATTAGTTAAATGATTATTAATAATCTTGGCTGATTTATGGGCATTACGCCATGACAGGAACATGTTCTTTATCTGAGTTGGTTTTAGATTGGTTAATTAACTAATTGGATAAAGTAGAATGTATTGAATAGAGGCGACTGTTATTATTTTTTAGCAGCATGAAATGATTAATTGTGATTAATCAATTACTGAACTAATCAACAACTAATTTAGTGATCAAGTAACCATTAAGTGGAGTATAGAGACTCAAAAAAATATTCTCAGACGAGTAAATACGTCCAAAATATGTACAACAAAATATAAATTTTGCTATCAAGATATAAAAAATGTGTCTTTAAATCTGTTCTTCTATTTTTCCACAAGTTTTTTAATTAACTGCTTTCTTCTCTTCAAGTGTCCAGCCTTGAATGGATGTTGGTAAAAAAAAAAAACATTAGTATTTGTCATTTAATCAGCATCCATGTGAGGAAATCGGTGTCATACTGGAGTGTTTCAACCCCTTTTCACAAAAACTAACAAGCTAAATTCTCTCTGATCTTAATTAACAGCAGATTGTCTGGATATTTCAGAAGCTGATGCAAAGCCAGACAGAAAAAGCTTTTCCTTTGCAGCAGCAGATAATTGGAGGAAAATGTCATCCTGGGCATCGAGGAAGAGTCGCCTAGCGGACTGGGATGTGTCTCTGAGCAGTTTTTAAAACCATTAATGAGTGGATGCCCACTTGTGCTAACATTTTTCTCATTTTATGACTATTTGTGGTCATGCAGAAAGTATGATGAGAAATACAGCACATGCGTTTCTCTTGCTCTGGCCGTCTTCTTGACTTAAAGCTTTTACATTCCTGGTTACCAAATCACTCGGTAATAAAAGCCAACTGGACTTTACTGGTCCATTTTTGAAAAGAATCTACTGAGAAAGGAGCTCATTTAGAAAATAAACTCCTTTTAATTTTCTTAAATTGCCTAGAAACGACTGTGTTGCAGAACTCTGCCCCTCTAATCTGGTTATATGTCTGAATTTTAGTGTGATGTTCTTTCGCCTAGTGGTGTTTGTCGAACATCTTGATTAAACCAGCTTGGAATAAATTATTTAGACTCTTAAATTTATCTGTGTGATACTGGAAACTCCCTCCACCTCTTAAGTTTAAGGGGAAGTCTGGCTGTAGAGAAAGTTGATTTCAGTAAACTGGTATTTGTCATCATTTTCTTCATCTCGTGATGACAGGTGAGGGTCTTTAGAAACACAAATTGGTAAATTGAGAGCTTTGATTTTTGGTTTATCTTGTTCTTCCACACCAAATGTTAGAACAGAACCCATATTTCTCCAGATTATGGTCCCAGATTGGTGCATGAGGGGCCATTAGGGGATACACTGATCATCCATCCTGTTATCACTTCACTGCAAAAACACAAAATCTTACCAAGTATTTTTGATCTACTTTCTAGTGCAAATATCTCAGTTTATTATTTCAAGTTTGCTAACTTGCAAGTAACTTTTTGGCAAGCTGTAGTAGATTGTTTTAAGTCGCTAATTCTTTAATATTGATGGAAAAGTTCCTGTTCCTATGGCAGATTATTTAAATTCTAAGAAATTTTTCCAATTAGTTATTTTATCTACCAATAGAACAAATACTTTTTCATAAATGTTAAGAAATTATCGACTTAAAAGGTTTGGAAATATCAATTTGACGGCTGCACAGATTTATGTAATTCATGTCTCTCTAAAATAAATGTGGGCTTGACAGTGATGTAGAGCATCTTAATCTGAAAGGACCAAAAGATAAAAATGTTTCTAATCTTACCAAGAAAGACAATAAATGTCTCGCCAAGGTAAAGTTGTTTCTGTCATGAAGAAAGTCATTTATGTAACAGACATAATGCACTTTTACTTAAATGAATTTTATATTTGAGCTATAATGGAGTTTCTATTGTTTCTCTTGTGTTAAATCCCTGATTTTAAGGTGTGGACTTATGCAAACATAAAGTGCAGTAAAAAATACAAAAATATACAAATTTAGACACTAAAATAAAAAGGTAGAACCCACTAATGGACTGCAGGATGTCTAGTTGTCCTGAATCGTCTGTGATTCTGTGTGAGAGTCTGAATGATGTTGGTTGTGTTTGCGGGGAGGAATATGTTCAGTGGTTATTTGCAGCTTAGAGCAGAATCAGCTGTTGGTAAATGTGATGAAGCTCCATCCAGAGGACAGCCAGTCAGGCAGGAGATGGGTGGGATATGAAAGGTCGCCTGGGAGGACGCTGTGCTTTCCTGAGGCTACAGGAAATGGATCTGACATCCAGGGAGGGGAGAGGGCGACTTATGGTGCATTTATTTATATTTTGGACAATATTTCTCTCAAGCCTTTGCATCCCTCATGAGGGCAGTATGTTAGCAAACTCTCCTCAGAGGAATGATGCCGTTTCTTGACTTGATTGCTTTTTACCAAGGTGTTGGTAAGAGATTGAACAAGATGTGAGTAATCAGGAAGGCGGGAACTGTTTCCATTTGTCCTTCATTTATGAGGAGAGGGTTGTGTCTTTGTCAGATATTCCTGAAAGCCACATTCTTTTGTCTTACAAATGAATACATAAAATGTATTTTTAAATAAGTTTTCTTTAGACATTTTACTTATTTCAAAAGGTTGTTTTTCAAGTTGCATGTAATTATTTAATTGCATATTTCACAATTTCATGATATAATTATTTACTGATTTATTTAATGTTTTTAATAATTTTATGATATATTTAATGAATTAATGCGAGATTAACACACGTGCATTTTATGGTATATTTATGTAATTTTGTCACTCCTGACCCTCCATATGTTACATCCTTCATATAATCATATAAGGCGTTGGTTTACGAGTGTTTTAAAGTTTACATACCAATCATGAAGATGACCTTTGGTTTCTTCTTTTCTGTGCTGTGACCTGTCGAAGGGACCAAAAAAATGTGTTAAAACATTTAATCCAGATCAAGATAAAAATCTTTGTTGCCTTTTTGGTCACATTTTTTCTGTTTTCTGTGACCTGAAAACCAGACTTTTACTTTGAAAAGTGACTTTGTAAGTCTGTCCATTCTGAAAATTGAACCTGGACTGTGAACAGTTCACAGTCCAGAATGCAGGGATGTGCTGTGGTGGTGCAGGGGTTAAGCACCACCCACATATGGAGACCTTAGTCCTCGACGTGACCGTCGCAGGTTCGATTCCCAGCCTGGCGACCTTTGCGGCACGTCTTCCCCTTTTCTCATTACCCATTTTCCTGTCAATTAACTATCAAATAAAGGCCAATAGAGACAATAAAACCTTTAAAAAGAAGTAAGAACGAGTCACAACTCTGACTTGTCATCATGAAGGTCATTTTCACTCATTTCACAAGATGCACAGAAATTTTCTTCTTTTCAGTCTTTTTTTTTAATGCAACAATAAAAATGTCAAACTGAGTATTCAGACTCCTTTAGATAAAAAGCCCATTCAATACTTTTTATTTTTTATGCTGAAAATCTTTTAAATCCTTATAAAACTAAGATTCATTGGAAAACAGAAACAGTTTTTTTTAACAGTTCTTGTTGAAACTTGATGATTAGATGTGCAGTTGCTTAATATTCATAAAGTAAAGGCAGTTTAATCTCAAACTTTCACCAAATGTTTAACAATATGTGAGAATAAATCGATAATTTTGGTCACAGAGATTTTATATTACATTTTACTTATTATTTCTTTGTTTATTTGTTTTCCAGTGTCAAATGTTCTTTATAAATTAGTGTCTTTATATTTGAGAGCCTTAATGTTTTTACTGAAAACGGTCTCAAATTGATATTGCTGTTTATGGCAATAATTTCTGGAACAATTTATCATGCAGGAAAATTTATCGTGACAGCCCTAAAGGTATTTTAATTTAAACTTTTATGAGCACGAATAATATGCAGGTCTTTAGGCAGCATGAATGCAGAGTTCATTTTCATGGCCGTTTGCTGGGGATGAGCGGACGTCGGGCCTGAATCAACTGACCGGCCTCCCCAGATATCAGCCGGTCAATACTGTTGATGCAGAGCGACAAACCCAAACTCGCTTTGGCCGCAGAGGGAAGTTCATTCATGCATCTGGTCAATAATGCTGATAATGCTGCAGCACTTTTGGCATTTCAAGGTAAAAGGCTGTTTCTAATTAAATCAGCAGCTGGGACAGAAAATATGGCGTAGAAGTTATTTTTTCCTTCTCATTTTTAATTAGCATATCTAGGAAACTTACTTTCTGTGGCTCCTTCAGCGTACTCCTCCTCTTCATCAGCCTGAAGAAACAGAGATGTTAAGATGTTAACTGCTGTGTTTTAATCTGATTCTTCGGTTTTTAGAAATTCAGACAGCTTTGAAATAATTCACAAATTGCCACAAGTTTAAATATTGTTCATTGTTCCCAACGTCAAATGTGAATAGTTTTATTCACCTTCATGATGGTCATTTATTTCTTTTTTTTTAGTGGTTTACTTAGAAACCAAGAACAAGTGCTAAACTAAGTAGCAGTTTTATTTTATGAAATTAGATCATATGTTCAAATTTAATGAGTTAAATGTCTAGAGCATTGTTGTTGTCAGGTTGAATAAAAAAATTATGTTTTTATAATTTTTTCTGGTCCAGATTTTTCTACAAAGGTGTTTTAAAATAAGCAGATTGAAACATACTATTTAGCATTTCCATTAGTTTTGATTTGCTTTGCTACCATGTCAAACAGTCGAAGCAGCAACTATTTAAAAAAAGAAAATCAAAACCTACCAAACTGTGACTTGTGTCCCATTGCACTGCATATAAATATTAATTTATTCATATTTATTTCTCTCTGATAAACAATCTGAAAAACCTGGATGACAAATGTTGCATTTGGAGAAGCAAAGATATTTAATCAATAATTTAAGGCTCTCCGTGAAAAACTATTTACAAAATTTGACAAGCCTGAGAATCTGAGTTTTTTGACAGGCAATCAGTGTGAACCACATCAAAAACACGAAGTCATTTCTATTCATTTGAATAAAAAAAGAAGAAAGGCATCCAAAGTACTTAATGCAGCAGTGAGTCTGTTGGCATTTTAAACAGTGCAGATTGTGCAACACATTCAGAAAAATCTGAAACAAACAACTATTGTCTTCCTTCCTAACAATTCAGCGTGAGCGTTCATCACCTCCTGCTTTTCTTTCACGTCCCACTGAAATGCGTTTGGCTCTGTAAAGGCCTCGCTTAATGCCTAAAGAATGGCTTTCATCATCCACCGAATGCTCAGTGAGGTGACTGTCTGGCGGCTACGTGCAGAAAAGAAAGCAGAACTGCTAAATGTGTTCTCGTTCCAGTCCGACACGGCTCCAGACAATAAGTTTTGTGCTTTTTTTTTTTTTTTTGTGTCAAAGTAAAATGAAAGCGAGCAGCACGGAAAAACATAATGGATCTTTTGATGAAATGTTTCACGAAGCGACGTATGAGTTTTAATTTGATTCGATCCGCTGTTCTAGCACAACTCCCAGAAGATTTATCTGCATTTCTGTAAACAGGAGGTAATTAAAAACCGCTCTCACATCAGGAATGACTCAGGTTGCTCTGACACCTACAGTGTTTTCATCTAACTGGGTCCTCCAACAGTGATATTAATTTTATCAGGGCAAAAGTTATAGTTGTTTGACGTTTAGAAATCGAATCCATGCAGACGAGATCAGAGTGAAGTAATTAACAGTGTTACACACAAGACTTTTTTTATGCTTTTGGAAGATAAATATGTGCAATTTCTTGCAACTGTACATCTTGTTACATTAAAACTGCAACGTTGTGTTTTTTTTTCCTCCTGTTTGCTTTTCACTGGATAAATACTGGAGATAAACCCCAAAAAACATAATTACAGAGATAGGAAGCAGTATCTGACATCCTCAAACTGCTGCTAATGAAATGGATGAATGTGAGAAAATAAATTGCATTATAAAAATAAAACTTTGGTCAAACAACAAATGCAAAGCAGATATGACAGTAAAGCTCTTTTCAGATTTATTCTGCATGTATAAAGTGGTGAAGGAGAAAAAGTGTTTATCAGGAAGAGAAGATTACGAATAAAACTGGGTATCTTTTCCCTTATGATTTTAAACAAGAAAAATGTAATATTCATTGGTATTACAAATAGTTGTAATACCAGTGGCTCTCCAGCAGGTGGTGACGATGTCAGCAATAAAGACAAAAATACAAAAAGGATTAAAAATGACAGAAAATATAATAAATTAATAAAATACCCCCGGACCGAACTTAAAAACTGGACGTTCCTCATTCGAAGAATCGCTACATTATGCTGCGAGCACTTAGCTTTCGTCAACAACTCTGAGAGCATTGCACAACAAAATGGCCCGGCTGCAACAAGGTGAACTGAATAATAAAATGCAGTTCAGGAAAGCTTTGAGGCAGGTAATTTTCCTTGAGGAATTTTAATAATCAAGGTACTCTAATCAATTGAGGAATTGTTGCAGCCCTAATATGAAGCCTGCTGATGCTGGATTTTAGCTGTGAAAATGTATTTTCTGGAGTGAAAAATCAAATTTCCCTGTCTGGTAACCCAATTGAGAAGACTGGGTTTAGAACTGCTACCAAAACATCTCAACTCTCTGAATTTGAGCAGAGTCTGGAAGTCAGGTCTTCCCGTCCAACATCAGTGTCTGACCTCAGAAAAGCACTTATGGAAGAATTGGGGAGTTTCTTTCCCATAAAAACGCTCCGGAATATTATGGAGGAGATGTTGTTATAATAAAGCCCTTCAGTAAAAAACAGGATGTCAAAGTTCTTGTGGGTGAATACTTTTGTCGTTTTTATTGTGATTTAATGAAAACAAAGTCAGTGCTTTGGCTGCAGAGGTGATTACAACATTTGGATGAACATTTCCAAGCGTAGCTGGAGTTTGGGGATCAGTGGAGCCTCTCGGGTAAAAGCGGAGCCCAGTGCTGTTATTGGTGATAAATAAATGGTGCCAGAGTGGAGGAGTGGGTGCCAGTAACAAGCCAGCTTGTCATGTGGGTACACCAACTGGTGTGATGACTCAGAGGCAGAAACACATGCACGGCACACAGCACTCCCACGCGATGGGTATAAAATATTCATGCATGAACGCCAAAACCATCAGTAAGACGCACTGATCAGTTCATTTCTAGGGAGGAGATACAGTAGAGACGATGCACTGAGGCTTACACAAATACCCAAAAATAACTCCCTCTGTTGTAGATATTAACTGCTTTTATTCACTTGGCATTTATTGGAATTTGATTTGGTGCATTTAACCCATTTCCTGTTGTGCATGTTAACATAAATCTTTAGTTGTTTATAAATTTAATTGCACGATACACCTGGCAGACTCAGTTTGGTTAGGGACCAAATTTGCAACATTTGTAATATTTTCAGCTGCTGTGATTCACTTTCACAGCTCTGAGTCAAACAAACCAGATTAATCGAAACCTGTTCCCCTCCTCGCCTGTAGTGGCGCTGCACCAGGAACTACTAAAGGAAATGACATAAAAACCTCTGAAGGAGACAATAAGTTTGTTTACATGGTTTTTTTCCCGTCAATAGTAACATCTTCTTGTTGATCATGTGACTCTCATGATGGGGAAAAAAATTTTCCATTGCAGTTTTGCAAAATATACAAATTTTTATACAGCCTAAAAACCAAGGATATTTTTCTGATTTTCTTAAAGCATAAAAGCAAGTGGGGACTTTATTTTTATGTGATTAGTTGTAATTTTCTCCAAATACAAAGTTATTTGGGAAACACATCAGTAGTATTACTTGATCTCTTACTATATATGTTTTTTACTTGCTCCAGGCCCCTATAGTTGAAGGAGGGTCTGGATATTCCTGTTGCTTTTTCATCTGTTGACCATATTGGATTTAACGAAACAATGTATTGCACTTGCAGTGGATGGCCAGTAAATGTCACTGTACTGTATGACACACTTGTGTCCTCTTGGTGACACTAGTGCATTTTATTACATAAAAATCTACAAGAAACACAAAAAATGACTTTTAGATGGCTGTCCACAGAGAGGCTTAGTCTTTTTTCTTTTTTTTTAAGAGAAAAACAATTGTTGGTTCGGAACAAGGAGAATCTGCAGAGAGACTAAAAGAATTATGTTTTCCACTCGGTCTGATGGCTTTGAAGCTATTTTCACAAAAGGAGTTTAAACTATGATTTAATCAAGGTGAAAGAGAACCTTTCCTTTGCTTTTAAAACTGTACAGTTAAAAGGAAATTATCTGAACTCTGGAGATTTTTCCAAATCCTCCTGCTCTAAAGGACTGATGTTACGAAGCGACCCCCATTCTGGATCCAGACATGGAAGAAGATGCTTCTGTGTAGCTCATGCATTTTGTTTTTTTAAATTTTTGCTCATTAATCGTGTGACAGGAAACAGCCGCTGGCAGAAAGCAGAGCTGCAGCTGCTCAGCTTGGATGTGATGCTGACAGAAACTCTGGCTGCGAACTCGCTGGCGCTTCAGCTTTGGGTCCATTTGTGAATGAAACCTTGGTGCTAATGATGTGGTGTAGCCGCTGATTCATTAGCCGAGGGAAGACCGAACCTTTCGGGATCTATTCTCTAATGAGATATGACACAAATACAGCCGCTTCAGCACCGATGCAACATGAATAAAAATATGACACCAGCTATAAACTGCCTTGTTTAAGGCAGGCTGGCAAACTAGTTTCCCCTCCGTTACGTAAAAGTTGTTTTGATTAAAAATTAGGTCAGAAAGAGTCTCACTCTTAAATTATTATTCACTGTGACTGCAGAATGTGACACTTTCATAAAGCAGCTCATAATTGTGAAGTAAAAGAAAAAAGCTGCATGTTTTCTTTTCAGTCCATCAGAAAAAGGAGCATAGCTAGAGACATTTTAAAAATCTCCAATTTGTTTTATACCACTTCAAATTGATGATTTACTTTTTGAACTTAAAAAAAAAAAAAGAATTGAGAAAAGAGAGAAAATATTACAAAAAGTGGCAGTGAGTTTTACGATGGAGTATCAGGACCAGGATATGATAACTTAAGAGAATATAATCATAATATTATTAGAAAAACATCTTAAAATTAGGAGAAAAGTAATTTTAACGGAATTAAAGCTAATAGATCAAGATCTGACGTGGCCACATTCTTTTTAAAATAGACATAGTTGTTTGTGCAAAGGTTTCAAAATCTCACTATTGATAATAATTTGATGCTGATGTGTTAATATATGAAGTATTTCTTTATAAACCAATACCAAAGTATAACTTAAGATTCTCAACCTTTCCAATTTAAATTAGAAAGGTTTTTCTGTAACACTTCTCATAAAATTACTGCTTCATGTTTCTAACATTACCCTTGTATTCTTGTAATATTACAACATTATTCTCGTAATAAAAACAAAGAAATTGTAGCCTGGCTCTAACAGACGGTGGCGCTTGGTGCACTGACATCACTTTGCACTAAGGAAACCCAACGAGCGCATTGGTAAAAACACATCCTGATTCTTCAGAAAGTTATACATTCAAAAACCAAAAATTTGGTTAATTTTTAGGCTGTATGGTAAAAATCTTTACTGGTCGAGACCCAAATAAAACCTTCCAGCTCTAATTACACTCTGTGCTGCTCTTTCATCAGGAATCAGTCGGAGCAGGTGGACAGTTTGGGAATAATTAGAAGAAACTTCCAAGAGGTTGGACGGCACACGTCAAAACCTCCTGCTGCAATCCTCTTTGGTCAGCACGATTACTCAACCCATCTCCTCCTCACATCAGACGCTGCAAATACAGGGTGACGGGGCGTTGCGGCGTCTTTGTTCCACTTCGCAGGACGCACCGTGGCGAGAGGTCGCGCAGGGACATGGCCGTCTACAGCGAGTCGTTCTCGCTTCGTTTGTTTGCACTGCGCTCGCCCTCCAGCCTCTCTGCGTTTCACCTCTACACGGATTAATGACTTACAGTATGAATAGAGCGGCCTCTGCCCAGGCTTTGAACATGTCTGAATAATGAGTGGATGACATCATTGAGTCATTGATCAGCCTCATTCAAAGGTCAACGTATTCTGGCTCCACAAAGAGCGTCAACCGGTTGTGAAGCCCTGGGAGAGGAGGGACAGTCAGGACTCGGGCAAGGAAGCTCTGAGATCAACTTAAAGACAAAACGTCAGAATGCTTGGTTTGGTTTTCCTGTAAAAGTGGAGCGAATTCAGGGTGTATTTCGCCCTGCATAGCCACTGCATGCTGATGAAAGAGCAGGCTCTTCAAGGACTCTTATTAAACTCCAGGTCATAGTTGCCCCTATTGAGCAGGTGCAATAATGACTAAGAAGGGCTTTCTGAGCATTTCCTGTAGACTGAATATGTTTCAAAGTCAAAATACCCCCGAGAGATACAAAAAAATAATTTAAACTTAAGATTAATTGTCCATTAATGGTTTATTAGACAGAAATAAGTTCAATTCGATTAACTCATAAGGTCCGCTTAGACCGTCTTTGTTGTAGTTTGGCCGCCGTCCAGCAGAGGGCGGCGCTGGTCATTTTTAAGCGGCGATCGCGGCGGTGTCACATAACAAGGAAGAGAGTTCGGTTTGAGAGGAAAAATGCACTTTTTCAATACTGTTTTCAAATGTAAACACTCAGCAAGCTTCTTAGTTTTAACTGATGGGACGGAGTATTTTAGAGCTGTTATTGATTAACGTAGTTCATTTAATGATGTTTTAATATTCCTTCAACAGCAACAAGTAGGGATGGGAAAGTACTCAAAAGATGTACGTAAGACTAGCATTACTTTTACTCAAGTAAAAGTAGTCGTCCAAAAAATTACTCAAGTAAAAGTACTCCTAAAAGTACAAATTTTCAATAAAAAAATAAATAAATGTAATTAAATAAATGTAATCGGTTACTAATAAACTCTGGCAACAATACGCCACTTCTCTGTTCATGAGAAATTAAGTCTTTTACTTTTCTATTCAGCAACTTAAGAGGTTCCTGTCTTGTTATATTTTATAAATATGTGTAAGTTTAAGAATGTGAGAACCACAATTTTATCTTTACTCAGTCTGTACTTAATACAACTGACACAAAATAATTTTTTTATTCAACACATTGTGAAAAATGTAGGTCTTTATGTGTAGAATGACGTCTGTCCCTCTTTATACAAGACAAAAATGGCCGCTTATCAATAACTTTCATCCCTCACACTCATATTTTCCTAAATATATTATTTCTCAGCCTTCAGACCTAACTCAGGATTTGGCAGAATTGGTCGTAGTTTTTTGTATTTGGGTCGTCTGACTGGATTTGAACTGCTGGTGAACTCCTCCTCTGCAGATGTTCACTGAGTTTTAAGTCTGTGTTTTTGCCAGATGGATTCGGGTCACTGGCGTGTTGAAAGGTGAACGTCGGTCACCTCCATCCGGAGATGTTTTTGTCTATTTCCGGCTACATTCATCCACTCCTTCACTTCCTATCAGGATTTTCTTTTGTCCCTGCTGCTAAGAGCTTCAGGAGTTTGATGCTGTCACAGAAAAAAGAGCGCAACAAAACATCAAAACAAGCATTTATATCTTTTAGAGAGAGAGTGATCTAAAAGCCACATTCAAAAAGAAGTAAACTTTTATTGAAAGAACTTGGAGAAACTGCATGACAGCGTTTTATGAAAACAAAATTCAATCCAGGTCTGTTCACACCAGCTCTGTTTAGACTTTCTAGACAAACCTGAGTTTTGAGTTTGTCTAGAAAGTTCAGTTCTTTTGTGAATGCGCAATCAATCTTTGATGTGGACTAAAAAGGCAAGAAAAGTAGCAAAAAAAGCAAAAAAAAAAAATAGGTGCCTGGTTCTGAAGAACTAAAAAAGAAAATAACCATGAATAAGGACATAAAAGTCTTAATGTGAGCAAAAGACATTTGTGATAAATTAGTATAATCAGAGACAGAGAAACAATGTACATTATATAAAATGACAACAAATTTTATATAAGCCTTTTTATAAGTTTATCACTGTCTTCTCTTCTTTTAAGACCAGGCACTAATACCAAAAAGCGAAATGTTAAACTTAATAGAGACGGCTCCAAAAGCAGGAAGTGGACCACAGTGCAGGGCATTCTGGGTAAAAACAACCTAAACAAACAAGCTAGTCTACCACTAGTGGGAGAAATGGCGTATAGTCTCTTACCAAAGACAAAAGTAAAATCTTAAAAACGGTAAAATACGACACTAATCCATTTCTGTTTCCATTTTGTGAAGAAGGAAGTTATACTCTTGTCTTCTTCAGAGGTTTTTGTGTCGTTTCCTTCAGTTGTTCTTGGTGCAGCGCCACCACAGGCGAGGAGGGGAACAGGTTTTCAAATCGTTTGGCTCGTTTGACGCAGTGCAGTGTGAAAGCAAAAATGTAACAAATGTTGCAACCAAGTTTACTGGAATATCAGGTGGAAAACTCCCTCAAAGTATTTGGGGCAAATGGATGTTTTTCATGAATAAGTCCCTGATCTGAAATCATTAAACTGAAGACATGGAGAGAAAAGCTGAGGCGCAGAGAGTGTGTATATGACTAAAAGCCGACCTGGTTAGAAAACGGCCTTAGAGAATCAGAAGTGGAAAAGAGAAGTTTTGAGTCGTTTAGTTGGATGAGAGATCAGACAGAGGTTGGAGTTGTTGCTCCACCGACAGCAGCACCATCCAGATTGTGTGGAGGAACGGAGCCGATTTGAAACGCTGCCAAACGTTGCACAACAATGCCTGCTATCTCAGGACATTTACAGCGCTGAATCATCTGGCCTTTGAGACGAGTTCACTGACACTTTTTTTAATTTTTAAAGCTGCTTTGAGGCTGTCGCTCATGTTTGGAACCAAAGAGGAAGAGAGGACGAAAGAAGAGCACCGGATGTGGAAATCAGAGTTTATCTGGTTGGCGATCTTCATTTAAAATGAAATTAAAGAGAAATATTTAAATATGAAAGTGAGGTTAGAAAGGCCAAAGAGGAAGCTTCTGGATTCAGATAAACATAACACTACAGGATTGTCTACACTTTTATTTTTATGGAGTTTTTGTAATGAGTTAAAGGTGAAAGTTTCACATTATATTTAAGTACAAGTTCTGCTAGCAAATTATTTCACTTATAACATGTTATAAATCAAATAACCTGCCACTGGAACTAGTACTTTTTCATCAATATCAAAGTATTATTTGCTTAAAATAAGCTCCTGTTTCTTGCTTAAAAGTTACTTGTGTATCAGCTTTTCTCTTTCCAAGTATACCTAGAAACTAGGTATTCTTGGTAAGGTTTTGTTTTTGCAGTGCAGTTTGAATAATTACTGCATTTATCAACGCATGTTTTCATGCACAGCGCTGGGAAATCCTCTCACCTGATTTTCTTTGTGGGTTTCCTCTGCCAGGCTGCCAGTTTCCCCCAGCACATTGAGATCCAGTTCACTCGGACCTGAACACAGACAAACCCAGTCGTTTGCTCATAACAGTAAACCACTTTAACAGCTTGGTATTATAGGAACAGAGTGGATAAAGTACACCCTCTTCAATCAGTTTAATGTATCAGGACATAATAAAATGTTCTGCTGTTTACTAGGTCAAATAAATTATTTAAATTCATTTTAATGTATAAAAAAACATGATACACACACTCTTCAGATGAGAAAAGATGTGCACAAAGAAGTAAGTACACCCCTCCTGTTTCAATAAAGTGATAAACTTTATTTACTAGCAGCTACTTGCTTTTATTTATTAAGAATTTTGCAGTATAGCCTGGCAAGGTTATGTCTAAGTTAATACAAAATTAGTGGAACAATCGTCTTTCAATTGAGAAAAGCAGATTACCAAAAACTCAATCTCAAACTAACTGTAAAGCACGGTGTTGGTGGAGTGATGATGTAGGCCTAATTTACAGCTTTTTTGTAAACAAATGAATCAAACATGAGGCCGTCTATCCGACAGCTAAAAATGGGACACAGCGGTGAAACATGGAGGTGGCAGAATCATGCTCTGGGCTTACTCTAACTAACATAGTACCAAAGTTTTTGTCAAATTATGAAGTTTTTACTAAATGCCACTCAGGTTTGACCCAAAACCTGCTTGAAAACTAAAGATTTGTATTTTTCTTTGCAGCACTGTGGGGGCAAATCAGCAAAAATGTTTTCACTGCATGAAAATCCAAAACTTAATGCAACAGAAAACTGGACAACAGACGTTGCTAAAATCTGATTAATTTAGAGAACTTTTCATTTTTTCCAGAGCTGTATGTGGGATGGGGATCAACAGAAATGATAACATATTCACATTCCCTCTGCAAAATAAATTTCTTTTTATGATTTAAAACGTCTAGACTCCTAAAACATGAATCATTTTATCCGGACCTGCCTTTTCGAGCTGTGAAAACCTTGTCAGGCTGCAACAGCTGAATGAGAAACAACATCTGGAGGCAGCAGTACATAAATCAATCATGGCTTCCACCGGTTTTAATAACTCCTTCACCTGTCCGCTTCCTACTTGCAGCAGATAAACGATTTAATCAGAGTCAGAGCTTCGTTATCCTAATTGACTTCAACTGATGGTCTGTTCTGGAGACCTGAGACATTCAGCGTCTGGTAGAAACTAGTTACATTTACTCAATTACATTACATACATGTACTATTAGGAGTATTTTACTACATGGTACTTTTTACTTTTACTTGAGTAATTTTATTGTGAAGTATTGCTGCTTTTAATTTAGTCAAATTTCTGGATTTTCTACCCACTGAATGAAAAACAAACATGTTTTTACTAAAAATCCACCAAACAGACAAACACCTGCAGTTTTGTTGAATTTTCATAAGTTTTTAATTGAAAGAAACTAATTAGGAAAAAAAATACTTTGCTATTTTTTTATTAACTTGTATGAATTATTATCATTTTGGTCCTTAAACTGATTGATAATATGATCAGTTACTCATTTCTTGAGTAGACATTTTACTTGAAACAAAGAAAAAAAGAGGAACAATAAATCCTGCCAATGGAATGTATTGAGTTTGTTTTAATCTATCATATGATTAACTGATTTATTGATTATTGTGACAGGCCTTGATGCATCTATTTGAGCTGCAGAGTGAATTGCTGCACGTTAAAAGCCCAGACAGCTGCTCTGTTTTATAATTGGCAGATAAATTCATCGTCATTCTCTGTGAATTTAGTAAAAATTCTCCGCCTTGCAGTCAAACATTTCCGATTTATTCAAAATGCAGCTTCAGATGTCCAGGAGAAAACAAAGACAGAAACTTTTTCCCTTTTGGTTTTCGATGCATAATAATAACAAAGAGCTTTGTGATGCAGGCTGTCAGGGTTCATCTGGCTCCGTCAGGGTCTCTGTTTTTACTGGGTGGTGTCAGGTGGCGGGGGCTCGTCAGCGCCACCTCGGCCCAGAACTCCTGCTGCTGCTGCTGCCATAATCAGAGGACGACGGCCTCATTTCTTCTGGGAAACCGCTACGAAAATACTACAGGACGATTTGTCCTTTTGGAGTCTATTTTTATATTTGGTCATCAGCTCATCATTGAAACGTGGAGCTTATTATGCTGCACAATATTCCACTTCTTTCTTTTTACTTCTGCATTCCTACTGCGAGCGTTTTAATCTTCAAAATAAAGCCAAATGAAATTAAACGCAAATTTTTTTTTATTGTTTTTAGCAAACATCCAAACCTGGAAGCTTCGACGTCGCTGGCAGACAACAGCTAATTGCCTCCCGCTTGAGGGGGAAATCTGCTTCTAACGAGGCATTTTTAATTTGCAGAGAGTAACCTCTTTGTTTTGAGGCGACAACAGAATGAGGGGAAGATATTTGGAAACATCCAGAGAAAAATAAATTGTCAAATATTCAACATAAATTACCAAAAACTTATAAACTTACAAACAAACTCTGACATAATCAAAGCTTTGCTGTTGCATTTCTGCTATTCTTAATATTATTGTTAGTTTTTAATGAAGTTGTCAATTATTACTGCATTAATTTAACATGTTAAAAATGATTGATTCTAGATTATAATGGCATGTAAATATGAATTCACCATACCAGTTGTAGATATGGATATAGAAAATATTAATGTAATTTATTGGATGATAATGAAAAAGAGGTGGACAAAAATATAAGTTTAAACTTTTACCCTCTCCTTTGAACCTGTAAATATACTTTACTGTTGTTCTTTTTCTGACTTTTGTTTTAGACTTATTGTTTTGGTGTGTAACTTTATTCTTTTGTTACACTACATTAAGTAAAGTAGTGAAGAGTCAAAGCTCAGCTTCACTTATTACAACTAAAAACCAGCATTTTACTGCAAATGATTTAGGAGGCTTGAAATGAGACAAAATTAACTATGAAGTAACTTTTCAGCAAAATATAAGAGCTTGTTTTAAATCAATAATTCCTTAATCTTGATGAAAATGTTCTAGTTAAGTGAAATAATCTGCCAGTGGAACTAGTTTTTCATCAATAGTAAGAAATTATTGATTCTCAGTAAGAAGAGGGAGCTTCTGAGTTAGTTTCTGTCTCATTTGAAGTGGACCAAGTTGTCTGCACTAGAAACTCAACCAAAAATACCTGATAAGATTTTTTTAAATGTGCTCGTTTGAAACAAAGAAAATGTAATGAAGTTTCATTACAAAGCCGCATTTTACTTTTATGTAGTTTAAAATGTGTGCAAATGTTTCTATCTGTCCCCTGCGTCTGTTTAGTTCTTAAAATTGGCATCATGTAGCTGACTGCTCTCATTTTGGGGGGGATAGAGCGTCAGTTTGCCGTCAAGCAGCTTGAAGGACTGTCAAGGATCGAAATGAGAATGGGCTCCGAGTCTCATTATGTGCTCAAACCAAACGATCTGACACACGGATCATTCAGAGAAACAGACATGTGGGTGGTTTGCGGGTCAGTCTAATTCTGAAACTGAAATCCTGCACAAGCAGACAATTTTACAGGGTTTTTCTCTCTCTAGCTCGGATCATATCCTAAGCATTTATGTTAAGATCACTCTAAATGGCTTCACCATCCATCAGCATTGCTGTCAATACCAAAACTCTGAACATGTTTTTGTCTCAAGCTGCTTTTAGGTGCAATATGTCACCTTCATGGTGACGATTCACCTCCTGATGAGAATCTGCCTCCTTTTGAGCAGGAACTGTTCCTCACTAAATTGCAGAAGCTGCCCATGATGGACATTTTGCTCAGCTTTTATAACAGAGGAACGACGGCATCATTGTTTCTTTACAGTAATAGAAGCATTGTGGCTGCGATGGAGTGGAATTGAAAACCATGAATTGTATTTTTAATCAGTCATTTGGTGATTTCAGGAGGTTTTCCCATCTCACATCAGCTGCAGAATCAAATGTTTTTCTATTAATCCGTCCGTCTCTCTCTCTCTCTCTCTCTCTCTCTCTCTCTCTCTCTCTCTCTCTCTCTCTCTCTCTCTCTCTCTCTCTCTCTCTCTCTGTTGACCCTTGTCCCTACTGGGGTAAGGAAACTGTGATGGTCAACAACGTCCTGCCAACTCATCCGTTTCCTTTAGCGAACCATCTTTAGAAGAAATCAGCACAGAAACACCTTCATTGCGCCGACTGAGCGCCGACTGGTCGCACCTTCCCGATCAGCTCTGTAAGCAGCTGTTGATCAGTTTTACATAACAACCTGCAGGGTGTGAAGTTTCAACCTTCAGTCTCTGTTTCTCACAGAGCTGCTAACTCTCTCCATCTGGCTGCTCTGCCAGCTTGTGTGTTAACCGGGAAGTCTGTGGGCGACGGCGCTTTTTCTTTCCTCCACTGAATGTGGGCCACTTTGGTGAAGCTTACGTGCAGACGACACTTTCTGGAAATGAAGCTGAAGAACAGCGCTGTTAAAATGAAGAGCCCGCTGCATAAAAACCTCCTGGTTATTTTTGATTCCTGAACTCTTCCTGAATTAAAACATTAGTATTGTTTCTAAATGAATATTAACTGGTTTTCTTTCCATTATTTGAGGTCTGAAAGCATTGCATCTTTTTCCTTATTTTAACCATTTCTCATTTTCTGCAAGTAACTATGAAATTTTTTTTCTTGGGAATTTTTTGACAGTTCCTCAATTTATTTTTATTTTTTCTCCAAGATTTTTTCTTTAAGTGGGATATTTTTATATTCTACTATTCCATTGGTAGATTATTTCATTTGTAACATGGGGAAAAATGTCTTGTTATAATTTAGTTTATCTGCCAATGGAAGTAAAACTTTTTAATCAATATTAAGTAATTATTGACTTAGAAGAAGCTCCTATATCTTGCAGAAAAGTTACTTTATTTTACTTGTAAGTGTAACAAGATATTTGCACTAGAAACTAGATCAAATATACTTCGGCAAGGTTTTGTGTTTTTGCAGTGTACTTCTGCAAAAAGCAGTGCATTGTTTGCAGAAGTAATAATGGACGCCGCCATCTGGATCTATTTGAAGTTATTCAGCAATGGAAGCTGGCAAGATCATAACAAAGCAATAAAAAGAAAGAACAACTAAAAGCAACGGCCTTTTGTGGCGCATTGATTGCAGCTTCTATAGAGAAGTCTGTTTGGATATGAAGCCAGAGCTGAGATTGTGATGCGCTTCAGTGACACAGACTTCTTTCATAAATTCATAATTATTTTCAGCCATTGTTTACGTTTAGATTTACAGCGTCTGGCTTCTGCTGGTGCAGAATTATGATTTATGTCTCACATCAATGACATAAAAGCTGGATAAAGGCCACTCATTTGGGGAAAAAAACAATTTAGGACAATTTGAAGAGACCGGATAACCTAACAGTAGAGATGGGTAGAGTACCCAAAATAGTACCGAAGTAAGAGTAGCAGTACTTCAACATATTTACTCAAGTAGAAGTAAAAAGTAGCTGTACAAGAAATTACTCAAGAGTAAAAAAAGTATTTGGTTAAAGTATTAACTGTACTGAGTAACTAATCAAATGATCATTCATTTAATATTGAAAAATTACATCATCAGATGAAAAAAAATGTAAAGTCTAGTGGAAATGTTGGTATTCAAAAATAACAATAATTCATGTAAGTAACAAGAAAAAAAACAATCAGGCAAAAGAAAAATTTTCCAAATCCGTTTCTTTCATTAGAAAACTTACAAAACTTTAACAAAACTGCAGGAGTGAGTCTGAGCCTGGTGAGGTTTTGGTAAAAACAGGTTTGTTTTTTATTCAGTAGGGAGAAAATCCAGAAATTTTACTCAAGTAAAAGTAGAAATACTTTGTAGTAAAATTACTCAAGTAAAAGTAAAGTGTCGTAAATTTAAATAAATGTAACTGGTTACCACTCATCTCTGCCTAACAGCAATGGTTTTGGAGGAAACCCACACATTATTCCCAGCTGCATCTTCTCTGGTTAATGTTTTTCTTGCCTGACCTTTAAATTTTAGTAGGCGGCCATGTTTTTGCAGTTTGGATTGCTGTAGTCTTTCCATTTTTGGATGATTGACTGAACAATGTTCAAACTCTGCTTTTAACTCCTAACTTGTCTTAATGTAGTTATGTTTTCTAAAAAATCTATGAAGTCTTTCCACATTATGCTGACTATTTAGAGTTGCCAACATATTCAATAATTTTAAGATGGCATTTGACAAAATGAAACAAAATGTAACTGGTTTTCACAACTGTTGACTATGTAACTATATAAAGCATTTTCATTTTCTCCAACTTCAGTTATTTTTACTGTAACATGACGAAAAAGAAGAATAATCTGTGCCAGTAATATGTTCCTGCAGCTTTACCAGCCACTTTCTGCCATGAAAATGGTGATTTAATACTTTAAGTGCTCTAATGTCTTTATTTCAGTTTGAACAGAGCGTTTTACAGGTCTTCACAAGTCCTTTATAATTACCGCATGTCACTGCTAATGAATAAAAAGCTGATCTTACCGGCAACAGGTTCTTCAGAGGGAAACAGCTTGTTATCCAAAGTCATGCTGATGTTGCAGAAAACCTCCTCCTCATCTCGATCAGCATCCAGCTGAAACAGGTGAAGGGAAAATAATATTAACTGTGGTGTTTTAAACTTTCTTGACGTTACCTTTTGTTTCTTCCTTTGTTCCTGGCGGAGTTTGAGAGATGAATGAGGCTTGAAATGAGCCGAGGGTCTCTCGGGTCATTCTGCATTCAGAGCTTTATTAACGCTACATTAACTAACTTCTCCTGCGTGTCGATCGGCGCCTTTCAGAAGCCCGGCTCGCTTCCTTTACATGATCAGGAAGAAAGAGGGCCGTGACGATTAAGGTTTCTGAGTGAACTTGAGACTTCACTCCACTAATCTGCTTCCAGGAGACCTTTATGTGCCATTCAGAAGAAATTACAGCAGCTGAAAGGCAAAAAGTGACCATAGACTGTAGAAGGTGCCACAATAAAATGGCAGTTTCATCTAAATGCACTGCAGACTTTGATAACAAAATATTGAACCAAACAATACACATGGATCTGTTCATCATGTCTATGCAGTAGATTGTGTTATAGTGGCTTAGACTGCAGGATAATTTACTCACAATTAGCCTGTTTAGCTTGGCGTAGCTTAATCATAAATGTGTTTTTAGCGACTCTAAGCTAACTCTATCAACTTAAAGTGGAAATTATTTAACTATTACAGATTACAAATTGGAAACAGCTGTTTAATTACTCCCCTTTCTACTCACATTTAGCCTGCCAAATTAGCATAGCTTAACTGCATACAACTCTATTTTTAGCGCCATTAAGCTAACTCTGTTGAACTTATCAACTTAAACTGAAAATTATTGGCTCATTATAGATGACAAATTACTAACAGGTGTTTAATTACTCCCTTTAATTCTCACAATTAGCCTGTTTATCTTAGCATAGCTTAACTGTATACAGCTCACCATATGTGTTTAGCTCAGCCCATAGTTGAACAGGTAAGCTAACTATATTTAACTTATCAGCTTAAAGTGAAAATTATTCAACCATTATAAATTGCAAACAATGACTTCCTTTTCTACTCACAAAGTGTTTATCTTAGCGTGACTCACCTGTATACAACACTATTAGTATATTTACAATTAGCCTTTTTAGCATGGCTTAGTTTTATACAACTGTATTTTTAGCGCCGTTACGCTAACCTCATTCAACTTATCAACTTAAAATGAAAATTACTGAACCATTACAAACTACCAAATTTCAAACTAATGTTTAAGTATTTTCTTTTCTAGTCAAAATTACCCTGTTTAGCTTAGCATAGATTAGCTGTATATATTGGCGAAGTTAAGCTGACTTTATTCAATTTAACTTAAAGTGAAAATCATTTAACCAATATAAACTACAAATTGCAAAGAACTATTTACCCCCTTTTCTCCATTATGAAGAGTTTTTGTGCAGTTGTTTGTGGCTGCTTTTTCTTCTTATTATTATTATTATAATTATTATTAATAATCATCATTTACATCAACCTGCCAACTAAAGAGGGAAATTAGCCGCTGAGCTATAATCACATGTATTTGCTTGTAAATGTTAGTTAATACGTAATGTTCCATTTAAAAATATTATAAACTTGCAACAATCAATTACAACAGAAAAAATATTAATGGCAGTTAGAAAACAACAAAAGGACCATTTCTGTCCTACTGACTTGAACTATGACTGAACATCCTTCTGAATTTTTGTCAGGAGAGAAACTCGCTGCACACTCCAAACTTAAAGTAAGTGGTGACAGTGGGACTCAGCAGAAATGTACAGAAAGGATGGAGCTTTGCAAATAACAAGCTTCCTCTGGAGGTTACCCTGGTAACAACAAAGGATGAGAGCCTGCGTCTCAGTGTGAGATGCGTGGGAGACTCCCTGGAGTCCACCTGCAGAGGAGGAGCAGAGGGGATCAGGCTGGTCTGTGCCACAGGAGAACAACTGGCGGCGCTTCCCTTCACAGCCACAACTGTCACCCTCAAAAAGGCTGATGCGTGCAAATACACACCAAGGTCAAGCATCATTCAACGTAGAGGTTTTTTAAATGTTTTCTCTCTGCCTGAGTGTGAGAACACAACAGGAATAGGTGGAAATCATTTACACTGGCTGGGAATTCTTTGTGTATTTAACTGTGCAGAACAAAATTAGGCTTAAAACAGTTAAAGCTTTGAAAAATACCAAAATAACCAATGAATACAAAACCCCCAGACATTTTTGAAGACGAATAAAAAGAAAGTAAGGATTTAAACGTGACTTATTATGGTTCCTTGAACATGCTGGCTTGGGTCTATTAGCTACAAAAAAAAACTTGTTCATTACTTTTTTTTTTGCAAACATCCTCTATAATTTTTAGTTCGGCCTATTTTGAGCTGTTTTAGAGCATCTTGTCTCTTTAAATCCAGATAATCTCCTGGCCACATCCTCTACAATTACACAGTTATTGCACAATTATACAACCGTGCAACTTTGAAAAGCAGAAGTAGAGCCTCGTGCACAACCAATAAAGGTGCAGCAATTGGTTTCTGAATAGTTAGGCAACAACTAAACACTTGTTTTTTCCAGCAGCCATTGTACAGCAGTAAAATTAACTGATCACTTGGATTGCTAGGTGACAGGCTGTTAATACCAGCCCAGTTTTACTGATCAGACTGATTGATGCCTTTGTGTTAAAAAAATAACTACTGGACGATACCGATGTTGATGCAAATATATTGTGCATACCTGATTGAAACAGTATAGTAGCATCTTTAAGCTTACTAAAAATCTATTATGAGGAAGTAAAAGTCAACATTATATTATTTTACTTTTACACACAGTTCAGATTAACATTTGTAATCGCAAACATCTCAAAACAGGAAGAAGATTTGAGGAAACAGGCGAGTATTTCACACAGCTTCTCCTGTACTGTAAAGCTATTTCTGTTCTCTGTGCAATCTGTTTGATCATACAGCTATTTTTATTTTTTGGGAGGTTCTAAAAGAGTTGAAGTCAAATATAGACGAGAAGCTTTCAAGGATTTATATTTGACTCAAACGTTTGTTTAGGATATTTAGAATTGGATTTAACAACTGATCTCTGGAACAAGATTTCATAGTAAAATGCTTTAAATGCCTCCTTTGTTTGTTTACATCTGCCTGGATTGTAACGTCGTGCAGGCAGGGAAGCGCTGAGCTCATTCGGAGAATATTTAATTAGCTCAGCCAGATTTCCTAGAATGACACGACTGCTTCAATCCTGGCCTCAACAAACAATTATCTCCACTCACCAACTGCAACGAGCAGTTGGTGCCTTCAGAGATCAGCAGATGCTTATGTGAGAAACTATTGTTGGTGAAAAACAACAACAACAAAACAGCTTCTAAAATGTAAGGTTTGAGGTGGAAAACCTTGTGAAAACAGAATATTTCAGACACTGTTGTCCAGGTAGTTTTAAATGGAAAAAGGACGAACAATTAATTGACTTGTTTTAATCCAGCAGTGATTTACGTCCAGTGTTTAAGAGAAGTCGAAGCTCCACGCACCAGAGCTGACATTTAAATAAAACAAGCTACTCTAATAACGAAGGCCTCCACTGGGCAGAAACAATGAAGACTCAGACGTTAGTTCATGCATGAGTTTCGGACCCAGCTGAGATTTTTCCAATTATATCCTCTGCTTGTTACGATACAGAGGAGGATTAGAGCCACTGGGAAAACAGTCAGACTCTTTTTCCCTCCGAATCCTGAATGTAATCTGAGAATTCTGACTTTAATCTGTCAATCCCGATTTAATCCATATATTCTCTGAATTCTGACTTTTCTCAAAATTCATACTTTTTTCTCATAATTCTGACAGTAGTCTGTGAAATCTGATTTTCTTCAGAATTCAGATTTTCTCATAATTTTGAATTGAACAAAAAAATGATTTTTTTTCCCAATCATTTTGAAAAAAAATCTATCAGCATGATTTTTATTAGCCAGTAAAAAGTCAGCATTATTAGTGAGAAATAAGACACTTATTCCAGTGTGTCTTCAGTCACATTGAAATAAGCTCAGCATCAATCATGTTTTATTAATAAGTAGAGATACGGATGAGCTGTTAATCCAACACATCATTTGAGATTTCTTTATGTAGCAAGTGTCATGGCTTTGGCCTTGAAATTTGAGGGATTATTTGTGAAATATAAACAGTTTTATGGGGTTGAAGGCGAAGGACGATTTAAATTAACAAAGTCGAAGATACTGTTTCATTATGATTTAACTTAAAGTAAAATAAATCTAAAACCAAGTTGTTCAGGAGCTGAAAAGCTAAAAATGATTGAGACAAACCATTTCTCTGACCGAAACTTCAATCCATTTATCAGTTTTCAGACGTACAGATGTATATTTTGAAGAGAAGGATTTTGAACAACCTCAGAGATAATGCCGAACGTAATTATTACTATTATTACTTTAAGAGCGATTGTGTTTCTGACAGCCTTTTTGTTTTCTGAGGCTTAAAACGAAGTGATTGCAGGGAAGATGTGATGAACCAGACAAACACTGAGAGCGAAGACGAGCGATGCTGTTTCTGTCGCCTGACAGAAAGTGGCAACAGCAATTTACAGCAGGTTCATGCCATCGATACGGACTCAAAACGTTCACATCACAGAGCGGGGACTGCAGACGTGCTTTCATTTACGGCTGTAAAAGGAGAGGAAACTGGGTTTACTCCAGGTGTTTCTACAGAAATACAGATTCTTTTTGGGAGAAAAGAAGAAGACGATAACTTATTGAAAAGGACTTAAGATAAAACAAGTTGCTCATCAGCTCATCAAATATTTGAAACTATGAACTCAAAAAGATATAGATTAGACATGTTTTATCTGAGTGACAGTGGAAGACCTCTAGGTTTATGAGTTACATAAAGCAAGTTTCTTACATTATCTTTGCATACAATCATGCTTAGATAATGAGATTTTACTCTGAGCAGTTCTGACAACTTTGATCTCCTTTCCTGATGAGCCGTTTTACGACATCTTGTCACTTCAAGTCCATATAATCTGCTGCTGGCCACGCCCTCAATTCAGTGTTTACAGTCACAACTGTAAATGACTGAAAAAAAAGATGCGGAATTATGCGACGGTACATCTTTGAAAAGCAGAAGTAGAGGCTCCTGCACAACCAACAGCAGGTGGTTTCTGGATAATAAGTCGACGACATAACATTTGGCTTTTCCAGCAGCCATTGTACAGTGCAGATGGCGGTAAAAATCAAAACATGCAATAGTTGCCTTTAAAGTTGTGTTGGACATTTAAAGTAGACGTTTCACTGAAATAAAAACATTTGACGACACGAAGCAGATTTAGTCGCTGTGGCTTCATTCTCAATTTAATATTTTATTTTCTAGTTTTTTATGAGAACAAGGTGGTATTACTTTTAGTTCTTTGCTGTTTTTATCCCTCCTTCTCTCTTAATACTAGAGTCAGTTTCAAATGTTGCCTTAACGAACAGTTTCAGTTTAAACTTTCAGTGTGTCTTTATGTTTATCGTATGATTTACGTGAATGGTTTGTGAAGTCGGTGTGTGAACGGTGATGCACATCGACTACAGAGAAAGATGAGGTTTAAAGTGAATCAAGAAGTTGTTTGTGTTGTAGCCTTGGGAAAAACAACAGTTTTTAATTCATGTTTTGTTGCTGAAAAAATTCTTCTCACACTAAATTGGTTTTCTTTTAGTGAAGTTTGAATCAACCTGGAAAACTGTTTCATCACCTTGACAGGATTCTTATGTTTTTAGCAAGATTTAAAGGATTTACTTTTTCTTTATAGATTTAAAGGCATGTAGAAATTTTGAAACGTAAGTGATACGTTTATAACTCATATTGCCTGGAACAATTGCAAGAATAAAAGAGATAAAATGTTGAGTAATTTATGAGAGGGACATTTTTTAAGGGACAGATTAAGAAGGATGTCTCATTATTAAAGAGATGCAAACCTCCAGAATAACTGATTTAGTGTCTTAATGAGGCGGACTCCGTTGGGAACTGCACAAAGGTTATGCAGAGATCTGAAGCAGAAAATTATTTTCCACTTCAGTTTAATTTCTAAAAAAAATATTATATGTGCTAAAATAAGAAACCATGTGTTTCTTTTGGATTCTGAAGACAAAAGTTGCAAATTTACAAAGAGACTCTTACATGTTTACAAAAAAGCCTGCTGCAAATAACATGATTATTTATTCCTGAAGTATTGTTTATGAATTAAAGGTAATCTCTGCTTTTACCTTTAAACGATTGACATCAGGATATGGTAATGTTGCAAAATGTTTGATTAATGAGGCTCAGATTAGAGACATGTTCATCACAAAACATCTGCATTTAAAGTTTCTTTGTTGCACAATCTGTGCAGGTTCTGGTTCTGCTGGAGCTTTTTTTCCTGTTACAAGGGAGGTTTTTCTCTCCACTGTTGCTACATGCTTGCTCAGTCTGTGGAATTGCTGCAAAAATCGACAAAACGCCAATGATTATCTACTGTCATCAAGTCCAGGAGAAATGAATGTTTCAAATTTGTAGCTCTGTTGACCATAAAACTGAAGAAATTACAAAAACAAATTTTCTTAGTGGAAATGTGACGTGTTTTTTTTTTGCCCATATTGACATAGTATTTCACAAAACTGCAGTGGAAACACCTTTCTTCGCATCAAATGAGTCACAGTCAACAACCAGATGTTACTACTGACGAAAATGACAAAGAGGACGACAGGAAGTGGTTGGAGGATGATGGTTTATTTTTGGGATTTTTTGCAAAATGTGCAGCTGGCTTATAAAAAGTTGTAATTCGAACATGTCAAATCCATAGTTCTTCTGTAAAATCACTGACTGCAATTTCCTCAAACGCAGCTTGTATAGCCGGTCTGAAGTATAAGAAGTGTGTTTGCCTGAATGAAACGCTAACATCTCCTTTGATGGCTGACAGAAGATGAACGCTTGTGCCGTAATTTTTATGATTTACCGTGTAAACAAACTTATTCACCTCTGACTTTAAATTAATTTCTTCTTTAATGGGAACATTGCAATAACAAAATTGTGTTTTTTCAACATTAGCAGAATAAAGTCAAAGATTTGCACATTTGAAAAGCAAACGCAGCTACTGAGACAATGCAATCTGCTTGTTTTCTTCAAACTAACTTAAACCATTAAACTGAACTTGATGTTTGATAAATAAATGGATTGTCTGCCTGAATTGACTTTTTTTGTAAAATGATGGCATTTGTTGTGAATTGGCAATATGTAGTTTTATTAGGGTTTCTAGGTTTTTAATGTTTTTGATCTGTTTTCTTATTTTTCCACCCAGACCTCTCAATTGTCCTAATTAGTTGCTCTCTCCTCACACCTGCTCCTGACTTTAATCATGCTAAGTGCCCCTCTCAATACTCACCACAGTAAGAGAAAAACAGCGAGAATCTCTTTTTATTTCTTCTTGCCTGTGACTTCAACTTCTTTGCTGCATAAATAACAATTTTCATCATCGCACTTGTGTCGCCACATGCCTCCATTCAGGCTCCACAATTTCCATGATAATCTGAAAATGTGAGATTCAGTACAAACACCAACAGATCCAGGTATCTAAATCTCACATCCTGTGACATCTTAAAGTTTTTCTCCTGGGTCACACAGGTATTTCCAGACTTGTGTGCTCTGCACACACAGCGGGGACCTCAAGAAGCAAATATGACTTTTCATGAATATTAAAAGTCCAGAGAAATGCTGTATAAGTGAATGAAATGGCTTAATGACAAACATGGATATTGCAGGTTGATGGAAACAGTGAGTTCACAAGAGGCTGGAATAATAGAAATGTGAAAGAGCAATGAAGAAACAAAATCTTTCTGCAGATTGGAAGGAGAAATTATTTAATTTCTGTTAGTTTCAAAGAGAACCACATAACTCCCATTTAAAAAAGAAAAAAGAAAAGAAAATCAGAGTTATTACCTTAGCATAACCAGAATGAGCTACACTTGTCTTTGATAGACTTAACCATTGAAAAAATCAGTTATCACCAGCAGAACAAAAATATTTTGACTTTATTGTGTCAAACAAATTTCAGATTTTTCATCGTTGCAGACAGAACTCAACATTAATGTTATCCACTGTAGATTATGATAAACTTTTCAAACTCAACCATGCAAATTGAGTCTGTTTGAGTTGGAGGAGTTGCTCAGTATTCTTGGAGTATCGAGGGAAAGGAGGCCGCCTTGAGACGCAGACAGATCGATGAGGACGGGCTAACTTCTCCTATTTGCGCTCAGCAGGCGCAGATTGAAATTTGGTTCCTGTGCTTCTGCACCAAACCTCAAACGGCGTCGGGGATCCCAGAGGCGTCCAGCTCAGGCGACCTCACACGTCCCTTCTGTTATTTATCTTGTCATGTGTAAGTAATGTTTTTTGTTATGCTACCAAAATATAGCGATCTGTAAGTGTCACCCTTCTCCTCACGCAGGATGACAATGCTGACCTATTCTACAAAACAGTCGCATATCTGATAAACAATTAAATGGATTTCTTATTTCCAGCTGGCATTTATGCTCAGGCTGTTCCTCTAATGTCGGTGACGTTTTTATCAAATTGGCGTCAAATGAGTCTAAATTTGCCTGAAGATGAGATACAGACATTTTTTTCTACAGAGGCTGATTCATTACTGGCGTCATTATCAGCTTCTTGGAGGTAGAATTTGTCAGAAATAACTGATTCATTGAGAATTAAACTCAAAAATATACATTTTAGATTGACTGAGTCGCCACTTTTGAGGTCACAGACACAATTTGTTCACATTAAACATGCTGTTCATGTGTTGTATTAAAGTTTTGAAGTTTAGTTAGTAAAAATAGATGTTTTGTTTGTTTTCAGAACAATTCTAGCTGAGGTAGTAATTAAGCCAAAGTGATATGAAATAAATATGCATTTTTTTATTTAAGATAAAGACACCTGTTTCTGTCAATATGTTTAAGCTTCATTCAGATCCAATTCACTAAAGGAATGCAATGTTATTGCATTTTGGGCAATAAAATAAATGTGTATTTTCTCATATCAAAAAGGACTCGAATTACATTTTTTATGTATTTCTAATATTGTATAAAAAAGCTTGAGGTTAAATGAAAAATCTTCAGAATTTGCAAATTATTCCCTCGGATTAATATTTGGAATAATCGATTAATTATACGAACAATTGATTAATTGTGTAAATAATCAACTGTTTAGTGAATTGTTGGAATAATTGATTTGTCAGAATAATCGATTAATCATTGGAAGAGTTAATAAAGTTATCAATTCCTAAAATAATCGTTAGTTTCAGCCCTATAAATTTGCTCATCCTTTCCGTTTTAATAGTTTGAATGCAGAGATGTAGTGAGCAGCAGCCTCACCGTGACGATCAGGCCTCTCTCCTGGAAGTACTTGACCAGAGGAATGGTGTTCTGCTTGAAGTTGGTCAGGCGACGGTCGATGGCCTTCGGGTTGTCGTCGGGTCGCCCCTGCTGCTCCGCCCTTTTCTGCAGCCTCTCCTTCAGGCGGCTGTTGGTGCAGGCCAAGAAAACCACCAGGTCTGGAGTGCAGATCTGCAGAGAGAAAAATCATGTGTGAAGCTGCTAACAGCTTGGAAGAGGCTCCATTCATGCATGATGGCTATAATCTGGCTGTGAGCTGAATACTTCACCGAAGTGAAGCAGAGAGCAGCTGCAGCGATTGATATGATTCAGAAATGTGGCGCAGTCAAGTCACCATGTTTAAGATAGTAAAGAGCTCATCTCAGGCAGGATTTCAGAGGATGAAGACATAAACTACATTCATTCCCTTTGTTTTAAATACCTGAAAGACTGCAGGCATTATCTTTTCTACAAAAGACACTGTTGTGGCAGTTTTCATAAAAAAACATTGATGTCTTTGCTTGACCAACACAGCAACATAGGAGTGTGGACGCTCACAGGAAGTTATTGAACACAATTTTCTTGAAATTGCAAAAACCGCCTCATATACTGTCAGTTAAAATAAACAGTGAAAGAAAATATTTCACAAAATATTTATAATATATTAATAATTAATGTTTTTAGAAAAAAAGTGAGGGGGAAAAAAGTCTGTTAAAATGAAAATAATTTTTTGGAGTTTTAAGCCACATCTCCCAGTCCTGCCTCCTACTGGTCTGGTGAAGGTATTGCAGGAAGGTTTTTGCCAAATAAATCTGGTGTAAAATAAATTACTTCTCTGGCCTTCAGTTAAAATCACGAGAAGTTGATATATTATAAGTGGGTCCGGTTCTGCAGTGTTGGGGCAGTAAGTCTAAGGCTGCGTCACGTTTCGAGTTTAAACGTGAGAGCAGGAATGATTTACAATTCATCCCAGAAACCTGGGATTAAACTACAAACTGAGCGAGGAACCAGTGCGAAGAGTTCAGTGTAAAACTGCCTGTAACTGGGTGAATCATTGACATTTTGTAATCCAGGTTGGAAGGCACTAGAAAACTGAAAAAAACAACTTTATAAGCGATTCCCAAAAGGCAGCAAAGAGGCATACATTTTCTTATAAAATCAGTTATTGGATAAAGGAAATGAGAATATGCTATAAATTTTTAATCAGGCATCCGTAGGACGGAAACAAACCCTCTGGTGCTTCCTGTGATGTAAAACACAAAAACGCACCATCCAGAATTATACAAGTGACAAAGGGAAACGAAGACAAACTTGTGTGTATTTAATGTACATTTCATGTGCCATAGTCTGAAACTAAAGTAGTTTAAATGGTTTGGTACATTAGTCTGTTTGTGACCAACAAAAAAAGTTGACACTATAAAACTGGGTAAAGATTTGGTTTGATTATTGTTTTTAGTAAAGAATAAGAATTGATAAAATATGGATTACATGTGAATAAACACACTTGAAAATGTTCAATATTGTTGTTTAGTAATTGTTTATAAGACTGTGCAGACATCTCAAAGAAAAAAAAAAAGCTTGAGTGACTGGAGTTTTTTTAAAATATTTGAATAATCTCAGGTGCACTTGAATGCACCACAAAACCGCAGCTGTTGTGATATTGTGCAGCATTTTGAATCCTCCATGCAGCAGCATTTGGACTTCAGATGGTTCTTTTCTGTTATCTATGACGTTTACATGAAGTTAGAGGTGAAATATGAGCAGGCCTAATGTTCCCAGATAGCAGGGTTTTGTGATTGCTGTTTTGTTTTGGTGTCTCTTTTTAAAGTTGCCCCAAGAGAACGTTGCATTGCACAATTAATTCCTCACATCAACATTTGTTAGGAAGCGAACAGAAATGGCTGCACCAGATATTTTTGATCAGAAAAGTATTTCCATTTTACCCTTCAACATTAGATCTGCCCAGTCTTGAACACTTGAAATTACTCCTCAAAACTCACTTTTATTCTTTCGCATCTACATTAGTAGTATTGCCCTGTTTGTTTAATTTATTGTGTTTTATTCTTGGATGTTTTTATTTGTGATTTTAAGAATATAGTACAGCATTAAAGTGTTTTATTAATAAATTGACATTGACATGAGGTTACTCTGATTCCTACCGTTACAACTAAAGGTACCACTTTATTTGAAGGGGTCTGCATTAGACTGACATGACATAAACATAACCGTCCTGAAGATAAAGGAGGCTTTATGAATGTTTACAAATGACTGCTGTCATAAAGAGTCACTTTGTAAATAATGACACTTTTAATTAACTTTTTATGCAAATTCTAATTGAACTTTTCATTAAAAGGATCATTACTGACCAAATAATGCAAAGTTTACACTTTTAATGGACTTTTAGTGGAACTTTGCATCAAAAGTGTCATTATTTACCAAATAATGCTTGATGACAAATCCTTTGTGTTCAGGTCATGTCAGTCTTATTCACACCCAAAGTGCTACTCAATTAAATTGTCATAAGATAACTTTCCATTATAATATGAGCTCAATTTTGTCAATATTCTGCTAATATAAAACCTCCCACAATTTTGCAATTTCTATTAAATGAGAAATGCAATTAGATTGTATGTGAATAAGTTTTATCACATGATAAGTCGTTAGAAACATGCTGCACCATCATCCCCCAACGACTTCTTTTCGTCTTCTTTTTTGTAATTTCCACCAGTGGTAGCATCAAGTTATTGATCATGTGACTCGTACATTATATGTATCTATAAAAATGTGTTTTTGTAACAGTTTTGCAAAATAAATCAATTTAAATACGGTCGGAAACATACACCTCATTCTAGCACCAAAACTTTTTGGTAAACAAATTTTTGTTTTTTTTCTGAAATTGGTGAGTTTCCATGAAGCAAATTCATTCTCAAGTTGTGCAAGTATACCTCGAGTGACAACGCAGCTTCTGACACCTGTCCATCCATCCAGTTCACTGGAACAGGACGTTATCCTCTCTTGAGTCATTATTCAAACCGTCTCACTTTTTTAAAAAATTTCCTGCCGTTTCCTGTATTTACATGAAATGCATGCGATGAGCATTCCACCAAATGCATCTGATCTGGCTCACTGCCATGGATAAAAATAGCCCGAATGGCGTCTACAAAGGTGCATGCCACTGTTTCCAGTTAAAGTTTCAGTTTCCATGGGAGCCATGCACACATGCATGTATTTCTCTCACATTTGGCTGCCGATGTTGAACAGGGTGCGCGCTGCCAGGGTTTGTCTGGAGAGGTTATTACTCGTTAATCTTTTCCTCGCGTCACATGAGAGGAAGAAGATAAACTTGGTTAATTTTTGCACCGCCTGGCGAGTCAGAGAGGTGTTTTGTAAAAACATAACAAAAAACATTAATTTAGAAATTCTTTGAAAGACTTTGTTAAAAAAAAAATTAAATAAGCAAAATCAATCATGTGATGTGTTGAATGCACTGGCTCAAGTCAAAATATCAAAACAAAAAAGACATAGCAGAGAGAAAAGAGTGATACAAAGGCGGCACTATCTGGTGTTTTAATTTTTTCTTTATTAAATTTTGTTTTGCTCCTTTTGCTTCTAATAAATCTGTATCTGCAGACCGTCAGGCGTCTCCATCTGTCAGCATAAACAATCCCATTTTTTCTCCTTCAGCATTCAGTAAGTCATTTTGTGATCAAAATTTGGTAAATAATGACGCATATAATGCAAAGTTGATCATTTTAATGGACTTTAAATACAAGTTTTAATGCAACTTTGCATTAAATGTGTCATTATATACCGAATGACACTTCATGACCACAGTCGTAAACATTCATGAAGACTCCTTCATCTTCATGACGGGTGTTGTGTCATGTTTTTGACAGTGTCATGTCAGTCTTACGCACATCCCATCAAACAAAGTGTTACCAAATTCTTTTTTTTAATCTACAATGCCCCTAATACGCCGTCATAAAAATCAGAGCTGCGCTCTCATTATCCTGTAATTGGTTTCTGCCAGAACGGGATGTTTTATTCCTTTTCTGAAGTGTGACAGAAAAGAGTTAAAGAGTTACAACATCATCACCAAAATCACTCCAGTCCAGGGTTGTTTTTTTGTCAACATGACGTAAAACAGCTCATTTAATTGGTTTCAGAGTATATGTTTAAGATGAGAATGTATGAATCTGTCAGCTGAGCAGTTTTGCTTCCACACGGGCAGATTGACAGGAATGATAACAGAGCATTGTCACCCTGTGGGTCGGTCTGTGAGAAGCCTGGAAGTGAGGATGGAGGGGTGGACGCTCTCTCTGGGCGGCCATAAAGGGAGCTCATGAATTGCCGCTCTGATGCTTTAAAGGGCAACGTGGCGGCATGGGGTGCGTAATGAAAATGGATGCTGCCGGTCCTCAGAGGACCAGACGGTTTTCCCCCAAGCCGAGAACTTAAAGAAAAGAAGTGAACCTTTCAGGAAAAGAGCATAAAGTAAGACTTAATGTGAGGGTCAGTGAATCGTTTTTTAATCCTTTGAAGGTCAAAGTATGATGGTTCAACGACATTGAAGGAGTTTCCGTTTTCAGATTTTCACACTATTTTCTGAGATTTGTGTCGTCAGTTCTGGAAGTTATATTTCAACATAATCCACCTCAGTATAAATATCGTCAACCCTTTTAATCAGGATTACAGACCCATTCAGTACATTGGGATATAATTCAAAAGTCCATATATTTCCTAACTCCATCACAAAGATAATTAACATAGATTAATTAATTGTCTAATTAATTTATAAAATGGTCTAATTGACTGTATAAATGTGACATAATTATTGAACAGATTAAGATTTAAGTGCTATCTTAATCTAATTAAATTTTTCGCACAGACAATGAGATTTTAGTCTGCCAATTTTGAGCTCTTTTCAGAATGAGCTGTTTTAGGGCCTCCTGTCACTTTAAATTCAAATGATCTGCTGGCCATGCCCCCTAATTCAACCTTTACATTCAGATGTGAAAATGGCTGCAAACCGATTATACATCCTTAGATCTTTGAAAAGCAGAAGTGGAGCGTCCTGCACAACCAGAAAGAATGTAGCAAGTGGTTTCTGAACAGTGAATCGACAATAAAACACTTGTCTTTTCCAGCAGCCATTGTATAGTGCACCGCTGATTTTGTTTGTGTGTTTTAAA